CAACTGGACAACACTCGCCTATAGGAAACCAAAAGAAAAGTCATTATTTTTTTATGAAGGGAAATTACAGCCAGTCCACTACTGAATACACCTCACCAGAGGCAGTGTTCTCTCTGCCAGAGGAAAACCTTGCTTCCCCTATCTAAACCCAATTTTCATACCTTCTCGTCTTCTCCTATAAACTGCTCCCTCCTATAACAGGATTATCATCACTTAACTAGCTACCACAGTGTCTGTGCCTGGCATCTTCCTTCTTGAATATCTTTCCATAAAGCGGGTCAATAGGCCTGGGTCAAGCATCAAGCAATCCATCTCTCACACGAGTCTATTACATTTAACTTATCAATACCTAGGGATTTTTCAATAAACTTCTTTAACTGAAGGAAATTCACTTCTCCACAAACTAAAATTAACACTTTTATAAGCTAATTTGAAGAAACTCTCTCATCCCCCTCCAAAATTTTATTTTTAATTTATGCATAAACTAATTTTAGTTTATGAAAAAACTTATTTCTTTTCTTCTTATTTTCTACTCTTTAAGTGTTTTTGAAGAAATCTATCCAAGCAGATTACTAGTGAGTCTACTGGTTATGTTTTGGTGTGACTTATATTGTTCTATTTAAGCTGTCTAATTGGCATCCTTTGCAACAATGTAACCATTCTTTTCTAGTATTTAATCTTAACTGACCTAGAATCAGTGGCATTACTAGGTCTTTTAGAGTTTAAAATCTTGAATAAAGCTTGAAGAATACTTTATAGGTACATTCTTACTCTTTATATTTATAATACTTGGGCATATATTATAGGTGATGATTGGGAGCATGAAGAGATTTTCACTGATGATGATGAAGCTGTTGGCAACGATCCTGAGGAAAGGGAAGATTTGGCTCCTGAAGTCCCTGCTCCTCCAGAAATCAAGCAGGTCAGTTCAATTTCCACGAATCAATGTCTGTAAGAAGTTTGTTGTTCTGCTGACAATCTATTTTGTCATTTTTTTGCCGTTTATGTGTCATTCCTACTTCAAGGAGTTTTGTTTTTCTCTTTTTCGGCATGTACTAGAGGTTATATTCACACTGGATGCAATGAATCTGCGGTTAAAAAAAAGATGGCAGAAAATGAGGAAATAATTTTTTTCAACTAATTATACAAAAAACCACCTTTTAAGGAATTTCATCTAGAGGAGTACCTTTAGCAAAACTAGAGGTGTTAAAATAAGTTTAGTCCGATGGACCATCCTGAAAAATAGGTTAGGTTAGTTTAAAAAATTTATGACATAAATTTGAATCAGGACAATTTTAATATGATTCATTTAGGTCATGACTTAAATGAACTTAGATTATACTAACATATATAGATTTATAAATCAATCTAATTTATAAATAATTATTGTTTTTTAAATTAAAATAAAAATAATATTATTTTACTATATATATATATATATATATATATATTATAAATTAATTTAATAAGAGATTTACTTATTTTGTTAATAAGTGTAGGAGTAAGTCTTTCACTCTTATTTTGGAGTGAATGGATTACTACTCTTATAATTTATATATTAAATTATTATATTGGAAATAAAGATTATTTTTATTAATATAACTTAAATTTTGAAAATATATTTTTAATTTTTATTTAAAAACATTTTTTATTTTTGAATTAATTATTATTTATTTATTTTTAATATTTCAAAATTGATTTATTAGTCCATTGATCTAATATAGGGCCAAACTAGGTAAAAATTATAACCTATTTTAGAATTTAAGTCAGACTAGACCAAAATGTCCATTTTGACTGCTCTTCTTAACATGACCTACTTTTAGAATGTTAGGACTTGACTAAACTAGATATTTTCTCAGGTTTTAATGTGTTTTTATTTTTTGGACTCCTTATTTACATGGATGCATGCTAATTTATCCATTGAGTCATTTTGTGATAATTTGGTATTTATGATGTTCTACTTTTTTATTTGAATTTAATTATTTACTCACGCAGTTTTAGAAACTACCTCGTGATTTTCCTTGATGGCGATTAGCTTATTGAACTTGTGAATTTATATAAAAAAGAGGGGTGGAAAAGAAATCTTCAAATTTGGTTTTTGTTATAGACCTTCCTAAACTACTTTTTTTCTAAATAATTTTAGGATGACGAGGACGAGGACGAAGATAATGAAACTGGAGGAGGTTTGAGTAAATCTGGGAAAGAGCTGAAGAAGCTGCTGCTTGGACGAACTAATGGTCTGAATGAATCTGATCCCGAAGATGATGACGACGATGATGATGTATGGGTTAAGTTTGTTACTTTTTCTTACACCTCTCCATTTCTAAAATTTTGGGGTAAATCTAGTTCGAATATTCCTTGGGCTACTAATAACATGTAAGTGCATGATAAATGTAACTTGTGCAAACTGCAACGGTCGCCATCCTTTTTTCTAAGTAGTAGATTGCTTTTACATTCACTGTGACATCTAAACGGGGAACTGGCTTATTCAACCAATAGCCTGCCTAGATTTCATTTGAACATATGGGTAAGCCAGACTAGAGCATTTTTTCTATCATTAACGGGTCAGTTGGTTTGTCTAGGTGGATGATGAAGCTGGCGTTCCTCAAATGATTGCTTCAAATCAGAAGGATGCACCTAAGGAAGAACCTGCTGATAATAGCCCTTCAAAACCTGCAGTAACAGGAACTTCTAGGGGACCTTTATCCACTTCAAAACCTTCAAAGGGGAAGAGAAAATTAAATGAGGAAACGAAAGCAGCTAATGGTGCACCAGCAAAGAAGGTCAAAACAGAAAATGTACGTCACTATTATCCTAACTCACTTGAATGATTCATATGTATCACGGATATACGAATGAATCTATGTAACTTTTTTATCACTGATAGGATTCAATGATTCATATGTTTTTACTTTTTCACCAATTCTTATGAAATAAAATAGAAAAGTCATATGAACTTATTTTTAAATGATAAAGATTTCGAAAGAACAATTAAATAGCTACTCGACTATTTAGCTATTTAATTGTTTTGTTTCCATTCTATCAACCAGCAACACTTTTAATGATGTCGCAACTAGCAACACAAGCTTTAATATGGTATAGTGTTAAAAAAACTATAGTCTTCATGAAATGCATAATAGATTGATTCAGTTTTCCTCTTTTTTTTCAAGATATTTCATGAAACTTATGAAAACATATTTTGTTGTAGCTGAGACTGCTCAATTGGGAAGGTATTACAAGAAAATTTGAAAAAAATTACACCAACTTTAGTTGTAAAGCACTTTCAAATTGATGTTTCCAATCACAATCTATCTTCAGCTTTATTGTATTGTAGCACTTTCAAAATGATCTTAAATTTCATTTTTTAAAGGACTAAATTTTAAAACTCATCTAAAAGGTTTTCCTTTTTTATATGTTGCTGAAATTTCTTATTATCCCTTTCCCATCGCATTGACCAGGAACCAAAATCAACTGTCAAAGATGAAAATGGGTCTGTATCTAAAAATAATACTCCTGCAAAAGGTGTATCACCAGCGCCATCATCCAAAGGAGCTTCTTCCCCCATAGCTTCGGGACCTGTGAGAGAGGAAGAAATCAGGGCTGTTTTGATGCAGAAGACTCCATTAACCACACAGGATCTTGTTGCTAAATTTAGAGCAAGGCTAAGGTGTCCGGAGGTAAGCTCTACCGAACGATTTGCTTTACCTTTATTGAGGTGCAGTTTTTTGCTTCGTGATTCTTATAACCCATGCCTGCATATGCTAGCATCTCAACGAGTTTTTTATGATCTTAATGGAAGTCTTCAGCTAAATCTGTGTTAGTAAAAGAATAAAACTTGACTATTAAGGAAGGTCTTGCAAATTATGCTATATCTCACATTCTGTAGAGCTAACATTTAATACTATTTTCAACGAAATTGACTGGCTAGCGTCAAAAGGCAATCGAACATTAGCGATATTTATGGTAATTTGAGTTAATGAATTCCTTGTTCTGCCATATGGATGTATAAAGTGGTATATGAATAGGAAATAGCACACCTTGTTCTTAAGCTTTGAGACCACCTAAGGAAGATATATGGCTTTTTAAGGAGCGTGTTTTCCTTTGCTCTGGCAAGGTTGAATAATCGCATGAGTTTCTTTGCTATGTGCAGGATAAAAATGCTTTTGCAGATATCCTGAAGAGAATCTCCAAGATACAGAAGACTAATGGATCCAGTTATGTTATTTTGAGAGATAGGTGAGATTGTATCTAAGAAGGGGTGACGTCCTTTTTTGGTTTTATCGCACTCTCTTTTGTTAGTTGTGGCATACCGAGCACTATATGACAAAAGATTATTTGGAACACCATTTTTATAAAATACATTGCAGTCCTGTATGCCAGTATCATAAATTACCTTTACTCTTAATAAGAAATGTTCAAATAAATAAAATTATATAGACTGAATAACTAAAAATTGTAATATGAAAAACAGAGATCTTACACTCGAAACGAAACCATTCCACATGGTCGGAATCAACTGGCTTAACAATTTAATTTCAAGCCATATATAAGATTCCAAATCCTCATAGAATTATTCTCCCACACTTACAGCACAGTTATTAAATTCAGTAGCATAATTTAATAACAATACCTTAAAACTCAGCCTACTTTATAAACATATAATTCGTATGCAGATTCAGAGTAGTACCTCATTTCTGTGTGCCCGACACATACTATGCTTTACAACACAACCAGTGCTCATGAAGCATGTTCATAGACAACTCCATGCAATATAATAATACGAAAACCATAAAAGATAAAACGCAAGGGTGTTCAAGAACGGAGTTTATTTTTACGTCATTTCAAATTTTTAATAACATCATGTATTTAATCTCTACTTATTTCAAACATAGTAAGAATCCTATTCTACCCCAATCTTTGTGGAGTGTTAGTTAACCTGGAAGATCTGCATTCCCAACAATTTGTTTGTTTTGTGTGTAAGCAAGAGCGAGCAACCCTCGTCAAATTTTGGAAGAGACAGATACATGAGGGAGAGTATCCACTGCGAGTCTGAAAAAGGGTTCTCCACCAGAAGAGTCAATCGAATATTCGCTGCAGATTGATGAGTAAAACGACTCTTCATTTTCACTACTATAATAAGCCTCTTCTGACAGACAAGGCTCATCGGGTGAGTAACATATGACAATATGAGGCAGTTTAAACCTCACTCTCTTTGATTTCACCATTAAGGATGTGGAACTGAGCATTTCTTCACCACCTTCTTCGTGATGGTTCACGGGTCTGTTCAAGCATAAACTGTCTTTGGTTTCAGCTATCAATGATCCACGGCATTGACTCCCGCAAGGGTGCACTTTTTTCTTGGAATGCTTAGATGAGAACGAGACTTCGCCTGAACTTATAATGTAGTCTGGTTTCAAACCAGGAGAAGCTAGAATCCAATCTTCTAGGGTCAGATTTTGAGCCTTCTTCTCTTCTCTCTCCATCTCCATCTTTCTTTTCAAAATCTTGCAAAATCTTCCTTCTTTTTTTTTCTTCTTCAAATTGTTGTCATCTCTGGCACAGGATTTGTTGTTTTGGTCTGATATTAGGTGACACAGAACGCAGAGACTAGCACCCATTATATTGTAAGAAATCAGAAGAATGAATCTGACAAAAGAGAAGTCATTGGGAAGAACATAATGAGATTAGTGAACTAATTTAGTATCTTTGAGAGTTTATAAAGGGAAAATGAAACAGAAAGAGTTAAAGAAAGAAATGGATCTTGACGATCATAGTTGCTGCCTGGTTATTATCAGTGTTGTATTTTTCCAAGTTCTCCATAGGTGTTTGGCCAGAAGTTTTATTCTTGGAATTTTACTTCGTTTTTTATTATGGCTCTAGTTTCTAAATTTTATTTTATGATTGCCGTATGGGACAACAGAAACGTTAGTTCCTATTATTTATCTTCAGAAATACAAGATAATGTCTAGGTTAACCCCACCCCATCTAAGAAGTTACGTGTCTTTTGTCTTGACAAAAATTGGTGGCAAAAATGATGGTGTTGTGCTAAACACAAAATGACAGAATTACCGACAAAAAATGGGTGATTCATTTTTTTATTTTTTATTTTCTTTGTTCTTCATCGGCGTTGGTGGCTAACCTAGATTTTAATCCCCCACTCTCACTCTTATAGCCATTTCATTATAATGACATGTTGTACCTTCCAACCTGTAAACATTATGCTTTCACATAGTTGGGTGTTTATTTATGTATCTCCTAAATTTCTTAGAGTGTTCCTATTGTTTTCTAAATGTAAATTTATTTTGCCCCAGAAATTAATGAAATATAGGAAGTTAGGATCCACATAATTATGTAATAAATCACAAAAAGAGGATTTATATTTAAATTGTTAAGATATTATGATCCATGCTTAACTCAGTAAAATTCACTAATTATTATAAAACTAAAAGCTTTTCTAAGCCAGTTTATGCTGCCTAAGTTTCTATTGAAATGGCATAATTATGTTAACATATTCATATAGCTGATAGAGATGAACTATGAATTATCACAATATATATCATATAAGATTGAAATTTTATATAAGGACGTATTAATATTTCTCTTTCTGTTTGAGTTATAGAGGTAAATATTGGTAATAATAAGAAGAATTTAATCAAAAGTGCACCAAATGTTTTCACCATCTGTTTTTAAATATATTTCTGAACCTTAAAAAAATTAATAAAAGCAGTGGTTTATTTAAAATCAAATAAGATTTTTTCTTTAAATGATTTAATGTATTTGCTATATCATAAGCAAAAAAAAGTTAAATCAATTTATAACATAAATAAATCACGAAGGTTATCATTTAAAATTTAGAGACCAATATTGAAATGTATCACATAAGAATAAAATATTTATCCAAAAACATATTGTTACGTTACATATAGATAAAAGTTGCAAATTATAGTAAATATAAATAAAAATATAACATAAAAGTAAAAATATACTAAAATAGAATAAAATTTTTACTTGAAATTGAAATTATAATATAAATTATATAAGAACCTTTTTGTTTTACGTTATTTTTTTATATAAATAATTTATTGGACTAATATTTTGTCTGAATAAATTTAAATATCTAGCTTTCATTAATATTTATGCCGAATTTACTAATAGTTAAATTATAATTTGAGAGAGATGGTATTTTCTGTTGAAGCACATAACTTCTAATTACTGAAAAAACTTTTTAAAAAAATATAACAGTTTTTATGAATTTTCCTAATATAGTCAATATATATTTGCATCTCACATCTACAATTACTCCATGGAAGGTTAGTTTTTGTTAAGTGTAACATTACATATTTCTCAATTATTTTTAGGTTAAAATATATTCTGTGTCTATATAAAATTCTTAAAATATTAACTTTATCATTACACAAAATTCATATTCTTTTCATTTTTCTTAAATTTAAATATATTTAAACACACTTTTAGATTAATAATAATAATAATAATAGTAATAATAATAATAATAATAATAATAATAATACAAGATGAAAAAAATACATAAATAAACGGTCTGATAGTCTAGCATTCAACTAAAATTACTTTTAATTATAAAATTCAGTATCCAAATCGTTAATCATATGTATTATTATTAACAAGACTAAAAAATATGTTTAGATTTTAATGAAATAAAAATATGATTTTTTAAAATATATTTAAAATTTTACGGAAAAAGAAAACATTTTACCTTTATTTTAAATTTGCTCTTATACATTGGGAACTCGAATATAGTTACTGTGATGCAAATCACGTATCAGTGTGAGGCTCTAATATAGTTTATGCTTTTTCATTTAAAATATGAAAATTTAGGATAAAGACTTGCATTTTATCTAAATAATAAATAAATGCTTTATAAAAAATAACTAGTATAAAAAAATCTTAAAGTAAAAATATGTTAGAATAATATTATATAAAAGAAAATTAATATCTTCGCTAAATGTAACCATTACCTTGGTACGTTAACAATATATAAAACTGGATATCTAGAAGTGTATAAAAGAGTTAACCAAAACATTTGGGATGAAGTTTTTGAATTATATTTTTATTCTGAGTAAGTTACACGAGCTCTAAAAAACATTAATTTACGTTTTCAATAATCAATGAAAACGTAAGAAGATTTTATTTCGATTTTTTTTTCCACCTGGCATACTATTGTCTTGGAATAATAGTTTATTTAAGTAAAAGTACAGATATTTAAGTAAAACTGACCTTGTTTTTTTAATATGTTGAAAAGCGCATGTACACAGGCAAACATAGTTGAGCGAACAGTACAAAAATCTGTAAAAACTTTGATCACACGGGAGCCTGAAAAGGCCCAGTTTCAGTCCGGCGAGAAACTTTCGAAGTCTGCTGCCATCCCGCGTGTTTCCTTTGGTGATATTTTGAATATAATTGGACCACCTCGTAAAAACTCAATTTGATAGTTGAAACTTCTGCGTTAAACTTTACCAAATATCACATTTTCTTGAGATTTCACTCGTATCAGCATTACTAGCCGAAATCCTACAACATACGATTTAGCTGAGTATTTTCATTTCAAAATGTATAAACGAGTGAACAGAGCATCATTGTACTCAGCAAATAAGCAAATACCATCCAATAAGATGAGGTATTAAATTGCAATTTAGTTCCCTCAAAGAGAGGAAGTTCGTTAGTAAAATAAGAAACTATATTATGACAATTGATTAGAACTTACAGTCAATAATTTTCTAACAGAGAGATCCTCAGTGAGAAGCAATCAGCAGACTGTGCACGACATGTAAAGGCGCTCCAAAACAAGTTAGTAATATACTCAAATGAACGTGAGTAGGGTTACACAAGACATTACATGTAGAATGTGGGGATTGATTAAACTGGGAGCCCAACAACCACCAGGACGGCAAAATTATGTTTTTGGTTGTCATAACAATTTTAGAGCTAAGGTCTAGGCTCAAGAAAGTACCGACGGGATAATTATGGTACATGTCCTACTTCTACATCGAAATATATAAATAATCAATCATCATTTTCAAGCCAATCTAAACCACAAAACTGAAAAATTAAAAAGAAAAGCTAAAAGGACACAAGGTTTTCTAACAACTTATATTGCCAAAATGTATCATAGGAGAGGCTTCCTTCTTTTTTTCACTGGCTTTTTGGTTTCTCAATCTTCACATAAGGTAATACACCCATTAAATGACGAACTTTTGGAGACCACCCACGCTGCTGAGCCCGGCAAAACATCAAGAATGTGTTGGCAAAGTAGGAATTGAAACCCATAAATACATGCCACAAAGCATGACCCTGAGGGTTAATTGGCCAACTTGAAATCTCTTTGCAGAAAACACGATCACAGAACCCAAACAAACTGCCGAATAGAAAAGTAGCTACAAATAGCTTTGCAAGCCGCTTGGCAGAAGCATCTTGAGTGTAAATGTAATACTTGTACATTCTTGGAATGCAGAGAAGAATGAGAATGATATAATGCACCTTGAAGCCAATACCAAAATGCAACACTGAATGAGCAATGGCAAAAAGAGCACCATACACGAAGAGGAAGATGGGCATTGTACTGCGATAATGCCAATCTGGAGAGTAGAGGATGTACATGTACAGCAGCACCTCCCATACCATAGGAGTTTCATCACTCTGCTGTTGCCTGAATTAAAGCGGAACATCTGAACAATAAATAGTCATCCAAAACAGAAAGACATTGAATTATTGACAAACAAATTACATAATTAAGCAAACCACTCAAAAAAAAAAAAAAACCTAGTAGTACTTTTTAATAGAAGAAAAATGCCACCAAAGATGAATTCCTAGGGAACACTTATGAGTATACCAGCAAAAGCATAACATTTAGGTGATAAATAGGCAAACTGGTCCCTGGAATTATTAACCTTCTAGTCCTTCAATTATTTAAGTGTGTAAGTCAGGCACCTAATTTCATGAAATTTGTATCACACTAATCCGTCTTGTATCTCACGTTAGTCCTTAAGAATTACTGACATGACATTAGTTTTGTGAAATTAAAAACTAACTCAAATAAATGGATAAATGAAAGACTAAAGTGCAACTGAAAGATAATTTCAGAGCTGAGTTATTTCACTTTTATATATCAGCAAATACAGTGATATTCTCATGAGTACACTCATTTAAATTACAACTCGGGGGGACTGAAAACCCAACTTAAATCTCGTTATAAACTCAATCCTTTTTAAATCTAAATTAAACCATCTTACAGTGGATTGATAACCCAGCTTATATCATGTTATAAACCCTGCCCTTATTGTAACTTAACCAAAATAGTTCAACATTCAGTAATAACCATCAGTTGTTTATAGCACAGCTTCATATTCAGTATTCAAGTACCCCATAGTGGAAAGTATTCCCTTTCTCCAAGCAACAAAAAAGGATATGATTTCATTCACATATGCAACCACACAATAGTTAATCATTAATAAAATATTTTACTCGCAAATAAGCCAATCATAACACAGAACTAGTGCCTGAGTGAAAGTATCTTGTTTAAGTTTTTAATTTTCTTAATTATTTTCACCCTCTCCTGTGTTTTTGTATCTCACTTCCTATGTTATCTCTCGTTACATTCTCGACCACAAAACCTTCAAGCATGAGATTGGAATGCTAACAATATATGTTGGTGACATACATTTCTTGAAAATTAATTAATAATAGAAAAGGAGATAGAGTGGGATGTTAAGTGTCCTGGTAAGGTCAAATAGCTGTCATGACAGCGACACCCACCATGGTGTGGATGAAATTGACAAACCATCATCAGACATCCATACTTCTGGTTCAATATTTCATCATGACAGAATGGTGATATATTCCTCACAAACAGTTCAATAAAATGCCAACCTCATTCTGTATCATGCAAAATAACTTGAAACAAAATGAAATATAACATAAAAGCAAACGTTAATTTATGTAAATTATTGCAAAAAAGAAAATGATGGAAATACTTACACACGCTGCAGCGAGGCATGGTACAACATGCTTCCAATGGCAAGTGTCATGTTTGATACATGAAGAACACTAAATCTTTTCTCAAACCGCTGTCTTAATGCATTTATAAGACCAATCAGAGCCAAAAGTACTGTTGGAATATTGGATACTGTGTTATAAAATTCAGCAATGTAAGATGAATAGGCATAGTTTATTTCACAACACTCTTTCGTGGATGTGACTGGACCCCAGAAGCTAGATATAGATTCTGCCATTCTCCTCTACAGCTTGATGATTGGTTTATCTATATTTCGGAGCTGCAGAATTCAAAAAATCCTGCAAAAACATGTAACAATATTAGACAAGCAGTTCTCAAATATCACATACCAATATGTTAACTCACGGTGAAAGCTTAATAAATGTATCAAGTCAGCTACATCATATAATGACAGAAGTTGCATCGCTATTGTGGATTGCAGATAATGGCAGATAGCTAATAAACAACAATATCATGTGATGGATAGCGTGGCATGTAAATAGCAGCAGTTGCTTGGAAGTTGGAATAGAAGCATGAAATGTAAAATCAGTTTCAAGTGCAGAGATGGATGATATTTATTATATATGAAAATGTATTAAAAAATTATCAATAGAAAACCCCATAAGGATCTAGAACTAGGTCACTGCATTTGCATGATAATCATAACAACATCAATGACAAACCAGAGAGAAACCTCAACACCGCAACTCCAAAGCTGAAAATAACTATGGAAACATGGACATATTATTTATATTACAAGCATACACACCAGAGGTCTGAATCTGAAGAGAAATTCAGTTTTTCAATTTGCAGAGCTAAGGCCTGTATGCGTGACAATAGATCATACTTTAAATCCCAAGGGAAAAAAATACCCATGCAATTTGATTAAATACAAACGAAACCCAGATGCTTAAATTCTAATAGACAACTGAAGGTGGAGGAGAAAACACTCTTAAACATTAATGTCCCTCACTAGAGATGGAAACGGAAGTCAGATATATCGGAATCCCTAGGAATAAGATTTGTTTCTCAGGTAATTAGCAGAGCAAATCTCCGATCGGAAGCAGCCAAAATATTGTTAGAGCATTGAAAGTGACAAAAGTGGAGAGAATTATTAGGTTTAGGGTTAGGAATATTGGTGAGACAGAGAAAATTAAACCATAAATAGAAGTACAAGAGGTTAGTTAAATTCTGGTGATAATTTAGAATGTAAATCAGGTGTGAAGGAGAGTTAAAAAAAAATGATACCTGAAGCCACGAGGCAATGGCCGCTAAACACACAAGGATTTTGATAATGCGAGTGCCGTCAAATCTCGACGAATCACAAATCCATTCAACTCATCGGAAAGGAACGACACCAACCCTTACCCTATGCGATGAGATGCGACCGATTTTGATAGTTTAGTTATTTTCCCTGTCATGCAGTATTTAAAATTACATGATGTATGTAATAACGTATGTATATTCTAACTCTGTAGACAATCGTATGGCCCATTCCAGCAAACCTCAAATTCAAAATTGGGCCGAAATTTGGAAGCAAAATAGTCCAATTTAATCTCTTGCCGACAATGTACATTTACTAGGGCATCTGATGAATACAAATAGAATTCATATCATTTTAATTTATCTATATATGAATTAATATTATATTATTTACATTTATAAATTAAAATTATTATTTTAATCTGTACAAAACAGAAAAAATATTTATTTTATTCAATTAACAATGATAATAAATATTTTCTTTTAAAATATGTAAAATTATATTACACTTAAAATTTACAATATATTAGAGTATACCAAATATATCGTAGATTTATAAGAGATCATTTATATATGATATATGGTTATTATAATAATAATCACTGTTATTACAAATATAGGATGAATAGCTCGGTAAGAGAATAAGTAGACAAAAGAAATAGTGAGAATATGAATTGAAAGAGTTGTTCTTGTATATTTTTTTCATATATCATTTAACTACTAAGTGTGTTTGGATTTAGGGCTGGAGTTAAGGAGTAAAAAATAAATAAAGAAATAAAAAGTTAAAATATTTGGATAAAAGAAAAGAAAGTAAAAATAAATAGAAATGTGAAATTTTTATTTGATTAATATACTTGATTTAAAAAAAATAGTTAGATCATTTAATAAATATTATTTACTTAATAAAACATATTAAGTGGATAAATAAATATATTTTTATTAAAATAATTTTATTCTATCAATATTTTTTTTAATATATTACAAATATAAATATTAAAGTAATTTGTTTTAGAATAAATTAGGAATCAAAATTAACAATGAAATAAAACAAAATATTTTAGATTTTTATTACGAAAATAAAATTAATGATTTTTATAGTAAAATGATGCATTATTTTTATGTATAATCTGTTTTATAATAACAAAATAATTTATTATGTATTTAACTCAATTTATTGGTGTTAATATGTTGATAGATTTGCAATGATAATATTATGATATAGTATGTAATGATAATTATGAATAATATTAGAAATTGTGAGTACAAAATATGTAACATGTATTTTGCTTTTCATTTATTTATTTTTCCATGAGAGAAGAAAGTTTTATTAAAATTCATTTACTCAAATCAACTTATTCGCAAACAATACATCTATAAGTAAACACCATAAAAAATAAAATATCTTATTAAGAAGATAAAAACATTATTTAAAGAAAATCATATTAATACGAATAATATTTATAATGACTTTCCTGATAAAATACTTATCTCATATAAAATATCTAAAGACTACAAATACCATTTAATATATTATCTTTAAATTTTAAAATAAAAAATATTACAAATCTATATCATAATATAAATTATTATCATAAATTTACAATATAACTTATGAGTTAAATAAAATTAGATATACAAATATATTTTCACTGAAACTAACATATTTGTTGAGTAATCGTGGAGACAATGAAGAGTATATTAACGTAGATTTAAACTAAAACATTTTATAATTTGAGTTAATATATTAAATTAGTGATAATTATATTTGTTAATATTCAACTCTACACATTTAATTGATTTATAAGATATAAATTGGGATATTATTTCAAAATCTCAATAGAATAATTGAAAAACAACAATGTTAAAATATATTTTAGATATGGATGATGTAAGGATTTACTAATTTTTTATATTTGTATTTAATATAACTAATATATATTATTATTATTTTTTTCTTTATTAATATTTATTAAAATGCCTACTTATTCAATTTAGTGAATCTTTTAAAAAGATAGCGATTTTATGTTTGGTTTACATGCACTAACTTTCTTACATATTTACAAATAATATATATAAATTTAATATTAAAAATATAACATAAATCTCTTATAATATTTCAATAAATATAAATGTATTAAAATTATAATATTTTAAATAATTTTTGAAATATATTTTCGTATGTATACTTTTAATTAATAAATAATTCTAAATATATAATATTATATTAATAAATAATTTGATTTCATTGATATTCTTAATATAAAATAATTTAGACCAAAACATTTCGTTGAAGTAATAAAAATGTCAAAATATTAATTCGGTTTTAATCATTTTTTAATATTAATTTTTAAAAATATGACTTAACATTACAAAATTAAAACTACTACTCCTTATTAAAATGTTTTAAAACAATATTATAATTGCCTTTGTGTTTTTATCTTGGGTTTTGTTTTGTTGAAGAACTTGTAAGTAGATGAAATAACAGAGGACAAAATAATAATTATTGTAACGATTATAAAAATCGTTATTCTTTCGTAAAATAGTAAATAAGTAAATAATAATATCTATATTATATTATTGTAATTGTAATATAGACTGAAATCTCAGTTCATTGGCAGAACCTTAAAAAACATAGTAACATAATTTATTTATATAGATACATGCAAAAGTAGCTTCCACAAAACTTCCCCATTGAACTATCCCTAGTGTCTATTAGTCGCATCTCCACCTCTCAACTCCTGATCTCCTCCCACATAAAATTGATCATCGCAGTCCCATTCACATGAAAAAATTGGGGTAAGTATTAAATCATTCGATATAATAATAAAACAGATATAGAAGTAATAATTACATATTATCATCAATTACAAATTATCAATACACTAAGACGTGTTTTGGAAGTCTACTCTAACTATGCCCAAACTCAGAGACTATCATCTGTGGGCATATTGTGAGCACTCACAGTACCATTCTGACCACCCTCCACACAGAGTGGGATTATTGGCGCCTTTCATCACTCATTCTGGAGTACCCCTTCGACCGCGGCACCAATCATCCCATCGACTTTTCACTACATGATCTCGTAGTCTACCTTGATCATTTTCTTTTAGTACTATTGCTCATGTTTTATTTTATTACACTCATTTGTAATGTAAAATATAAAGTATGAAACTAAATTTAAAAATTGAAGAAAAGGAGAGCAGTAGAAGACTTAATTCAAACTGAACGGGTGTATCCAGAATTTTCTTACTACTAGTAATAGAGATACAACAAGAAGTTCAAATAAAAAAAAATAAAAAAAAGTTAGAGAGAAATCATCAAAAGAATTGTATCGAAAATATTGATGGTCTTGATTCTAGTTAAGAATATGTAAGTAATAATAAAACAAAAACAAATTACTAGAAGTAAATGTTGGCCATAAGAATTAAGTTAATTTCCTGAAAGTATCTATAATCCAGTGATGAAAAAATATTGACAAAAAATTAGAGATTCACTGATATAAATGGGTATTAGAAATGATAATTTTCAAATTTAAATTAAAAAAAAAAAAGACTTTCTATTCATCCTTTTATCGAAGAATATTGTGAAATAGATAAAAATATATCGTTTTTGCTGTAAGTTACTAATGGTGTAAGTAAGAATATACAAATGAAGTAGATATTGAAAAACCTTAACTCCAGACTTAAAAGTCATGAACATATTAATAATTTGACCAAATTGATCGAATTAGAAAATAATTATTTAAAAATTGATAGATAAAAAGAATTACAAAAACAAATTAATAAACAAAACAAATATTAAAATAAAAATTTATTTAGAATTATTGCTATAATAAAATATCTTTCTAAAAATAATTTTACTTTTTGCCGAACAAAAAAAAAAATATATATATATATATATATATATATATATATATAAATAATAATGTTTTTTTTGTAAGAAGAATGGAATACTTGGAAAATTTGATTAAGTTCTAAAATATTAGACATATAAGAAAATGACGAAATTGGGGTACACTTAAAAATGAACTCATGAAATTGTTTGTCTTTCGTACAAGAATTTTAATAATAAAAGAAATGAAAGAAACACAATATTTGTTGAGTCAACCAAATTAAAAATTTTGAGGGTTGAAGTAGGTGGAATTCTTTGGCAGATGCAAGAGTAGATTGCAGAGGAAAGTTCTACTAACGAGTTATGTTATAAGATGGTCACAAAACAATTACAAAACTTAAGATTCAATGAATGGGGACACAATTTGAAATTCGTTGAACCTAGTCTCAATCCACGAACAAAACTAGATTACCGGTGGCTAATGGGTTTCATGTGAAGTCACGCACAGCCGCCAATTTTCTTCATGAAATGAGAGAAAGAAACACACTATGAACATGTATTTGGATATAAAGTTAAAATGGTATGAGACGTGGCAATTTGGGTCTCTTTTCCGTTGCTATAATTAGGATGGTTGGCATTTCGTACTTCATACGACTGAATTTGTTGTTTGAAAAATTAACCATGTTTTCATTTTTCAATTATTTAAATATTCTTATTTAAAATTAAATTAAATTAAGCAACCGTTAATCTTATATTCCTCGTATTAAAAAGAAAAAAATAATTTATATATACTCTCATAATATATTTTAAAGAAAAATTTACTATAAACTAGAGTTTCAAAATACATAATATATCGAATATTAAAATTGATTTGAAACATAATATATTAGAATTGATAATAATGATATTATAATAGCGAAAATATTTTTATTATTAAAATTGATTTGAAACATAATATATTAGAATTGATAATAATGATATTATAATAGCGAAAATATTTTTATTTCTATATGAAATATTGACGTTCACAAAGTCCGACTCCTTAAATTCTCAATTTAAAATTATATTTTGATACGTCCATAAATCTTACATCGTTTAAGAATCGAAATTAAGAGTATTTATATACATTCTTCTCTTTTAATCGACAAAAATATTTTATAAAAACACAATTATGACGAACGAGAATTATAAAAGTTAATGTTTCGATACTGAAAAATATCATGAAAAATATTTTATTTTTTATTTTTTGTTTAAGTAAGAAAACTTTATTATATTTGAGAATATAAAATATTATATATTTTTATTTTAGATTATTAAAATTGAAATATTAGTAATTTTTAATATTTTTATTTTATATATAAAATACAAAAATAAAATATTACAAGATAAACTCTAAAATTTCAATAATGATGTAGACAATATTTATGTATTATATTTTTAGTTATTTTATGTAACAAGTCCCACATTGGGGAGGTCTGACCAGGTAAGAAAGCCGAGTAAAGTGCTTAGTGAGTGAAGTGTCGTGGAGTGCAGCCATCGAGGACGCCGACTTTCGAACGGGGTGGTATTGTAACAAGTCCCACATTGGGGAGGCCTCTTGAGCTAGCTTTTGAGGGATGGTTCCCCTCTTAGCCTTATGTCCTCGATGGCTGCACTCCACGACACTTCACTCACCGGCACTTCACTCACTTTTCTTACCGGTCAGAACCCTCCGGCGGTCAGAACCCTCCGTGGGTAGCCCTTCTCGAGTTGGCTGGCTCTCAATGAAAGCACCATTGTAACAACCATAAGGCTAAGAGGGAACCATCCCTCAAAGCTAGCTCAAGAGGTTGGAGAACCTCCTACCTTATAAGGCCTCCCTGGTAAGGAGACCTCCCCAATGTGGGACTTGTTACATTTTCTTGGTCGAATTTCATGTATTATCCTGGTCTTATGTATTAAACTTTTCATTAACTTTGATTTTGTTTAATTTAAATACATTTCTTAATTTTATATGGAAATTCAATTAGCTTAAACAATTCATGAAAAGTTCTTAAACCTAAAAAAAATTATTTGTTTTTTTTTTCAAATTTAATCTTTATTTCTATTTTAAATTTAAGTATTTTAATAAATACGGATAATTTTCATAAATTTTAATACAAGTTACATATTAAAGAAGATTTATTTATTATGAAATTTTTTAATAATATATTTTTATATATATATATATATATATAATTGAAAATTTATTATTATTATTATTATATAAAAGGTATTTTTGAATACATTGCAGACTAAAGTATTAGTTATCAATATAGTAAAGAAATACGTGTGGTATGTTTCATAATTGGATGAAGGTAGTTTTTTGATAAATTTTGATTAATTAGAAAATTTAAAACTAGTGTTTTAGGATAAGCCAATACAATTTTTTTAGGCAACAATTCATAGAGTTTAACGTAAGTGCCACACATAAATATCAAAATCCACTATATGCTAAAAAAATGGTTATAATTTATCTGCTTTGACACCAAATTAGTTGAATTTTGAAACAGAATTGTATATATAGAATAAAAAAATATAAAAGAAAAAAATGAGTGTGTTATATATCCTATTATCCAAAAAAGTTTGAACAGTTTGACAGCGCTTAAGCTTATCAATAATAGATAACATGATTAATAGTAATAGCAGAAAAGAATGGCAAAATGAATGAAGGCAATGTGGCAAAATGAACTTGGACGCTTTGTCAGTTGGATTCAGCAAATAATGACGTCATTTTGGACTACATTCGTGGTGCCGCAAATAAACTAAATCTCTAAGGTTGCTACAACTCGAGCTCTATTTCAAACTACTACTGTGTATAAATAGATTGTAGGACCTCGTTTCCCTCTTCTCATTCTTACTCCATATCCTCTTTCTCTTTCGTCATTTTATGTACACATAATTTCAACATATAGCATCACCCTCACCCTTATCATTCATCCCTGTTTCATTCTTTTGCACAAGAACGGAAAAGACAAGAATCTAGAGATGGGAAGAATTCCGGTGAGGTTTGAGAGGGTGGCCGAGGCCTTCAACGCTGACGTGGCACGTGTGAGGCTTTGTGAGAGCAGCGAAAGCGGGCACCCGCCGGAGGACATGACTGATTTGTCCGATCTCGTGAAATCGTTCATGGAGAGAGATGGCGAGGGAGAAGATGCGGTTGGTGTTCATTTCGATGAAGGGGTTGAGGATTTGGAGTGGTTTGATTCTGAGAAGAGGGAGATCTTGGAAATGATATTCGGTGGTGGTGATGATGGGGATCTCAAGCAAATAATTAGGAGAGAAGCTCAACTTGCATTGGAGCATGTTCGGGAAAACGAAAACGAATCTCCGCAATTCAAACGACAATTGATGTCTCATCTGCGGGAGAGAGGTTTTGATGCTGGTGAGTAGTAGCACTATCTTAGTTAATTAATTTTAACTTTTTGTCCATTAGTTGTTATGAATTTTGATGATTTTTTTTTTTTGGTTCTTTTACGTTTTATTAACAGGGATTTGCAAATGCAAGTGGGAAAAAAATAGAAGATTTCCAGCTGGTGACTATGAGTACATCGACGTAAATTTTGCAGGAAATCGGTACATTGTTGAAATTTCCCTTGTTGCAGAATTTGAAATAGCTCGACCCATAAATCCTTATTCTTCATTACTTGAAGCTTTCCCCCTAATATTTGTTGGTAAATTGGAAGAGCTGAAGCAGGTTGTGAGGCTAATGTGCAGTGCTATTAAGAGCTCTATGAAAAGCATAGATATGTATATACCTCCATGGAGAAGAATTGGGTACATGCAAGCTAAGTGGTTTAGTTCCTATAAAAGAATAACTGATGAGGTTGCAACTAAAAGGACATCATCCCCTTTTTCCAGTAGGAGGTCCATTGGATTTGATGCGAGGCCAGTGAAATCCTACAATTGTAGGGATGATTACGGGAGTAAACCTGCATTCAGAGTTTGCCTTTTGACCAGTGCATTTTATGACGGCCCTGGGATGCTATTATAGTCAATTATGCTGCATCAGCCTCTACAAACGAATACAAATTTTCTGTGCAGTATTCTGATAGGGATAACAATTTGTTAAATCGTTGTAACTTGTAGAGTATAGTATAATTGACAGTAATAATGATCAATTGGTAGTACCAAAGCAATATGCAGCAAAGTAATCTGATTGGAACAGTTTCTGTTGCGAAAGCTACCATGTAAATTTCCCTGTTCAATCTCTTACAAAATACAGATGCGTCTATCAGTATAAAAAATGCGATGAGTCTATGTTGAAATAATAATATTTTAGATTGCGCATTTTTTTTTACAACTTATTATATTGTAAATCCAGAAGCCAGTTATGTCATCAATCTGACTTAATTGATGAAATTGTTATTTGAATGAAACTGAGTAATGGCTTTTTGAAACACGTGGAAGACTGTTTGAAATAACTCGTGTGAGCTCAATATAAGATGTTGCGATGTAATATGCTATTTATTGTTTTCTTAATTTTGGATCTCTAAATACTATTTTAGTTATTTACTATCTCTTCATAAGTTATATTATCTAAATTATTTAGAATCAAAGGAGTGTGTGTAGTTTTATTATAAAAAAAAAAACTCAAAGCGATATTTTGGGGGTGGGTGGTAGGTTTTGAAGTTTTGAAAAACCATACATTTGCATACATTAAACATGGATTTTAGATCCCCAAATACATTTTTTTTTTCTCAAGTTTCAGAAATTAATGTGCAAAACAGAAGAAACTTTTCTGATTACTTTTTACTTGTTTAGACTCTGGGAAATTTAGTGTGACCACTTTCATTCAATTACTAGTATTAATAACAAAATCAAAGAAACTGCTTGAAAAATGTAAATATTACGGAGAAGAAAATTAATAAAATATAAATATAAATTTTTAAAACAAAAACCTAATGACAGAGATAAATTTTAAAGCCTTAATAGTTGGTATTCAAGTTTTATTAAATTATAAAAGATCAACTGAAATAATTTTATTTATATTTAATTTTGTTTCAAATTTAAATATTAATTAAAATTTTGATAAACAAAACAATAAATAGGAATTTAGTTGTAACCATTCGCACTTCATATAATATAACATATAAATTTTATTTCTAATAAAGCCAGCATAAATGATAGTTGTCTGGAAGAGAAGGGCTTAGATGAGGTCAGGGAGATGAGGGATGAAGCTCATTAAAGGCACTGTGTTATTAACAATAACATTATTAAGCGCCCCCCTTCTGATTCTAATCTTCTTCCCCCAAAACAAAGTGAACCCATCTTCTCCACAACCAATACAGCGAAATTCCTCTTCCTCCTCCATGTCGAGAGCGCGAAGCTTTGTTCTATGGCTTCACGGTCTGGGTGACTCTGGCCCAGCCAACGAACCCATCAAAACCTTGTTCACTTCTCCCCAATTCAGAGACACCAAATGGTCCTTCCCTTCTGCCCCTTTCGCCCCTGTCACTTGCAACTGTATGTCTTCTCTTCTCCACCTATTCCTTTCTCTCTACTTTCATACGCTTCAATAGATCGCCGATGTTGTTCACAAAATTCAACTCTCATCTACTCAACTATTGTCTAATGGAAATTATTTGTCTCTTCCCTACCAATTTCAACCATATAATAGCAATCCAAATCTCAACTACCAAATATTCACCTAATTGGACACTATCGTGTAACTACTTTTGCTCGTTCCTCACAGTCACAGGCCCTTCCCTGTGATATCAATTTAGGTTTTTAGGAGATATTAGCTTACGTCAGTTCAAGGAAATGATTAGGTATCGTTAATTACAAATTTGGAATTTCTAAGTGATGCTACTTCGTTAATGTTGTTCGAATAGGTGTACGCTTTATCTCTTTGGTACCTTTCGTTGTACATACAATCAAAGTTTATACAGCATATTAATATCTTTTTATGTGGCAATTGTTGACATCGTGATAGGCTTACAGTCCTCTGTTCTTTAGATACAATGCAATGAAAGTGCCGTGTGCTTTCCCACCTTAAAAGATGATTAATATATTATTCTGACTTGCTCTTTTTGTAGATGGTTCTGTAATGCCTTCGTGGTTTGACATTCTTGAGATTCCTGTCACAGCTGTAAGTTTACCTTTCTTTTCTCTCTTGGATTATTTCTTGTATAAGCACTCTCTTTTTTCAAAAATTAAGGCTGTGTCACGTGTCAACAATCTTCAAGGGAAAATGATAAATGGTATAACAAGCTGTAGCTTTTCCCTTTTTTAGAATGCTAGGGGCTTCTATGTCTACATTTTCCTCATTTTCTGTGTTCGGAAGTGCTGTCAGAATGTAATTCCGAGTATGAATATTACATTTGGATTGAATTATAGTTTTTTGTTTTCATTTAAAAAATGTGAGATAGTTAGCATAATTCTGTACAGAGCATCACTCTTTTGCTTTTATCATGGCAGTGCCAACTGTTACCAATTAACAATCATGAACTACGTAGACTGCTCTTCTGTGTTGCCTTAATAATGATTTGTTGCCGCCATGTACTGTCAATAAATTGAGTTCTTCTTGTGCTCAAGTGAAATATGACTCAACTTGATAAATCTTCTAGGCAGAACAAAGTCGTTCAAATGGGAAGCTGTCTTCTTTCTCATAAACTTTATTTTTAGATTGATATGTGACGCAGCTGATCATAGTTATGTTTACTGCCTTTAATCACAGTCTCCCTACGTAATTTTCAGGTCAACTGTCAACACTTGGGTGATTATGAGCATGATCACTTTTATTAAAACCATGTCCCACTGTATCTTGTAAATTTCATGTAACAAGCTTAAGGAGTATCCCATTTCGTTCTATTTTTTAGTTCAACGGTTTTGATTCATAATAAGTTTAGTCTCTGGCTGAGCAACTTGAGTTAGGAAGAAGTTACTCTCATCATGTTCAGGACAATGTTGCCGATCTGATGAAGTTATGCTGAAAAATGTTTTGCATATTGTCAGGAATCTCCAAATGACGAGAGTAGTTTACTTAAAGCTGTTCGAAATGTGCATGCTACTATAGACAGGGAAATAGCTGCTGGTGTAAACCCCAACAATGTATTTATCTGTGGATTCAGTCAAGGAGGTCTCTCTTTTATTTCCCTCTATATGAGTGTGTCAGTGGCTCAGTGCATGTGTTTACTTGTGAAGAATGTGGCATGCTGGTGTAGATTGTTTGCTTATGGTGACATTGTTTTGCAGGTGCCTTAACCTTGGCTAGTGTTCTACTGTACCCTAAAACTTTAGGTGGTGGTGCAGTCTTTAGTGGTTGGGTTCCATTCAATTCGTCTATTATAGAACAAATTACACCCGAGGCAAAGCAGGTAATCTTTAGTAGCGGTAGTGGTAGTAGTATTATGTGCCAACCTTAATATTTGTTCTATTTCTTTTCTTTTTTTGTCAAGCTTAGCTATTTTTCGTTCATTTTCTTTCGGAGTAATTATTATCATTTCGGATGGGATAATAAGAGGGTTGTCACAATCAATTTGGTTCAATTCTAACAACCTCTTGGCCCTAGGTTTACTTGGAAATATTGAGTTTGCCTTAATCTTTGTTGTTTGGGTTTTCGAACAAGTTATTTGATGCTTGTTCAAACAAAAGTACACCGACCCAACATAGAAGAAGACCACATCCATGGCTATAAATACACATAACAGCTTATATTTCTATTTCCGTTTCAGTACCAAGCTGTTACAGCATTTGCTGTTGCTATAAAGTGGTTTACTTTAACTCACATGGTAAAACTATGCTATTTTTTATTTTTCATATTAGGATTTATCTGATGTGGCATTAGGATGGTGGGAAAAGTTTAATGCAACTTTTCACGCCAGAGCTCTGTTGCTACTTTCTGCTTTTATGCCTTGCCTGGGCTCAGAAAAAGATACGGAAAATATTCTTAACAAATCTTCTCTCTACTCTGTTCTCGATCAAAATCTGCTGTGCAACGGGTTTTGATCATGAATTAAACAAGCATGGATGCCAGCTATGTTGGTTTTCCTCATCGGGCCGTGAGGTTGTTGATATTCAATTTTCCTTGGAAGTTGGAACAATGACACTTCACAGTCTTTTAACTGTTTATGCCATTAGAATTCAGAATCAATTTCGTGTGTACCGAGCCTGACACCAGAATAACGTAGCAGCAGTCGATTGGGTTTTTAATATGTCCTACAATAATATTTGAGTGACCTGAATTTGCGGAATGCAGTTGCCATTTGTTTTATGTTTATTGACCTATTATACAATATATAAATATCTGCAGACACCCATACTATGGTCCCATGGACTGGTTGATAGAACGGTATTGTTTGAGGCCGGACAAGCAGGTCCTCCCTTCCTTGAAAAAATTGGTGTTGGTTGTGAGTTTAAGGTGAATTCTATGTTTTCAACAATTCAGTTATTTATCCATTTCACCCCCTTCCCTCCACCATCAACATTGACATTTGTGGTATTGGCACTTACTTGGCAGGCTTATCCAGGTATTGCCCACTCCATAAACGATGAGGAGCTGCTGTATCTCGAGTCATGGATCAAGGCACGCCTGCAGACTTCTTCCCAATAGTTATTTCAGTCTGGAATAATATAATTTAAATACATGCTTGTACTTGTGTAGACCCCCTGATCAGTTATTTATTCTCGTTTCATTCATGATAATGTTTATAAGGATTTTGAATTGTCTTTACGTGTGTTTTGTAGCACCTTTCGTATGCTAGTCTGAAATTTTTTACGTAAACTCATAAATTGACGCAGAAGCTACAAATACATGGTTTTCATCCTCATGCGTCTCTCCTGTTAGCTTTTATTATTGGTGTTTGTTTGGTTGTGTTTTAAACTTAAATAAAGCACACAAATCAACGACCAAACGGAGGTTGGAGATGTTAATTCGTAGTTTCTGCAATTCATGCTAATTATGAAAGTCTCACGTACCGAAACAAACATGCTCTTCAAGCAGGTTTTAGATTTACATTTTGAAATATTTTACCTTTTGGATGTATTTTAAAGAAGCTAGTTATAACTTCCATATCTTAAATGATATTTCTTTCTTATCAAAGGATTTTTTAAATTATTTACTATTGTTATTTAGATTCATATTAGATAGTTTAAAATCATGTTTTGCAATATAAACTGATGTAATTTAAGGTAAATACTAATTTGTTTGGTCATACAATAAGAAGTAGGTTTAAAATTGATTTTGGAATAAAATAATTTTAAATAACTCTTACATTACTAACAATTTATTTTGAAACATAAACTGTCTTATTTTGAAATCAATTCTAACTTGTTAATTTTGGAAACGCTTATCCAAATGCTTACTATTATCGTCTTTTCATTGGTGGGCTATACATATACTGTTAGACTTAATTATCTCCTCATTTTTTTTTTCTTTCTTTTCTGGTCTTTGGTATTTGAATCAATTTACTTTAAAATAGAGGTGTTTGCTTTCTGCATAATTATTGTTTATGAAAACATGGGTAATAATGATCATGGGCATGACTCATGAACGGGGACAGATTATCTGTGAGAGTTGAAATTTAGCGTAAATGTTGGAATTTGGAACTTTTCTGACAATAGACGAGGGGTATAGCGGTGAATAATTGACTCAAATTCACCAGAAAAATGCGATGGCATGCATATGCACTAAGCCGGAGTAGTAAAAATAGTCAAAATGTGAGTGATGCGGTTCCCTGATGCCTACTTTCTTTATGAGGTTTGGGAACAACCGCACCCCACCTACAAAAAGCATAGTGTTCACTCACTGCATCCATCCAACCATCTGGTGGCCAAATGATTTTTTTCCTCAATTAGCAACTCTGTAACTCTGCTTGTGCAGCATTTTTTCTGCCTCTTCTCTCTGCTGGGACCAATTCACATGCCAATATTGGTTGGACCGGACAAGGTTTACTTACAAATCCTCATCCTCCTTGAGCATGCTATTATTTTAAAACCCCTTGGAAGATTATCCAAACTCCAAGTGCCACATTTTACGATACAGTAGTATTATCTACCATTGCTGTGGCCTTTCAACTCGTGAGTGTTGGTCCCTAGTGACTAGTGAGTGGGGTTTTCTTACCGTCCAAATTTATATGGTTTTCAGAGTGTAGCAGGGAAGCGATGGGATCGGGCAGGGGGGCTCACTCTTACTCCTTGGAATAAATGATAATGAAGACAGATGAAGTACCTGACACATATCAATCACCCAAATTTTTAACGTCAGAACTGCATCTTATGGCAATAATGTTCCAAGCATCCAATGCCTTTTCATTTCATGCACCCCACATACATTTCATAATTTACAGTGGTAGTAGTAGTCGCTGTCTCATTCATAAAGCTCCATCTTTTTTCGTAAACATCATAAAACTCCATGCTTAATTCTTAATTCTTTGATTCTAGCTAAAGGGCATGTTGTGGACTTATGGTAATCAACCATGTTTGCAACCATGCCCACTTTTTTTATTCTAAAACTGCCACTGGAATCATCACTTAATTTGTATGGAACTCCTTCGTGCTTCGTAAGATTATAAGTTTCTTCTATCTATTCTTTTCCAAAGAGAAAAATAAAATAAAAAATTAGAGCTAGTTTCTCTATAACAGTAACAATTTTAATTGCTACAAAACAATCTTATCACTTATTGTATATATTTTAAAGATCATATCACTAAATAAATAACATTAATTAAAATTTGTTACGTGTGAGATTAATGTAATACATATTCTTAAAGAAATAACTACGATAATGCACAGTCACCCACTTGTCAATGAATCTGTCATTGTGCATTCCAAAGGGTTGATTTGAATTTTAATTCCAAGGCTTCCTTCTTCGGTCTTAGAGAGAAAAATATAATGAGAATTCAAACATAAACAATTTCCTATATTTTTCTCTTTTATTTTATCAATGAAAAGAATTGTTTATTTTTCAATTTTACTTTTTAATAAAACACAAGTATATAGTTCTTATCTAGGATATGCTTTCTTGTTGTTTTTTAAAATACTTTTTAATTTTTATAATTATTTTATTAAAATAATTTTTAGAAAACTATTTTTATTTTTTATTTTTTAAAAACTAAAGATTTATAACTGATAAAATATATTTTGTATTATAATATTTTTTTACTTAAAATAATTTTTACAAATAAAGTTATTATATAATTTTTTTAATTATTTCTAATTTTTTTTAAACTCATCTATATTTTTTATAATAATAATATTATTATGATTAATTATTTATAAGATGTTACCTGTTTTAAAATTTTATTCTATCATAATTTTAAATCTTTTAAAAATATATATAAATAGATTAGAAAATAAAAATTTATATAAATTATCCTTAAATTAAGGATTAATTATGTAAAATTTGTGAATATAAAATAATTTTTATAAGTATTTTTAAAAATTAAAATAAAATTAATTATCTCAATTTTGTTTGTGAAACAAAACTCCATTTTTAAACAAAATTCGACTTTAAATATTATGAATAAAATAATCAGATTATAAAAAGGAAACCTTGTTAAAACCTGTCGACTAAAGTTTTTTTAATAAAAATTAGTGGTTGATTATGTACGAATACGAAGACTAACCGAACCAAAAAAAATAAAAATAAAAATGAACAGTTTGATTCATAGGTGGAATTTTGAATTTTTCATGCATGGTCATGGTCAACTGCAAGTCTTCAAAATTATATTCTCTGCTAAATAGACACGGGTATTAATAATATAGTTAAGTTGGTTAGATTTTTAAAGAGAAAGATGAAATTAATATTAAAGATCATATATAATAAAAGATATTTCCTTTATCAAAATTAAATATTTTGATAAATCTGATAAAAATTTTAAATTAATTTTTTTAATATAATTTTTTATAAAAAATATAATATGTTTTAAATTTGTTTATCTCATATTCATAATAATTATAACAATAATTATTATTATTATTTTCATGATGAATCTCGTTAAATTATTTTAAATCGGGCAAGTTTTTAAAAATATTAGTAATCCCGTTAAACTATTTTTAAAAATATATAAATATATTGTAATAAATTAGTTGTAAAAATCATTATTAATATTTAAGTAAATTTATTATATGGTTAAATAAAAGGAGAATAAAAAAACCCTAGTGAAGGTATATGTACTTGGGATAATGGAAGGCGATACCAAAGTGAAGAAAGAGAGTAATTAATCCCACAAATGTCGAAGCATGGATAGGGACAAATCAGAGCCGTGGGACCGAGCCCAACACTGGACAAATCAGAAGCGTCAAATCTTTTCATCAACTCCCGCGACGCAGCTGATCCCTTCCAACTTTTTTCATTTTCATATTCACATTCTCTCTCAATAGGTAATAGTTAATGGAAGAGAATCAGAATAATAATAAAAGCTGATCAACCCTTCAAAGCTCAAACTTTTGTTCTCTTCTTCTCTCAATTCATTTCAACCATGAAGAAACTCTACCGTAAAGGAACCGTCCACCCCTCCCCATCTCCGCCGTCGCCAACCATCTCCAACCACCTCTCCTTCCTCCCCGCCGCCATCCTCACCCTCACCCTCTCCCTGTCCCTGGAGGACCGAGAAGTCCTCGCCTACCTCATCTCATGCTCTTCCTCCTCCACCAACAACTTCACCAACAACCACCGCCGGAACCCTAAGGTGGTCGTGGACGGCGATCACCCTCCCCTCTTCAACTGCTCCTGCTTCCGCTGCTACATGAGCTACTGGGTCCGCTGGAACGCCTCTCCCAACCACCAACTCATCCACGAAATCATCGACGCCTTCGAAGACTCTCTCACCCACTCTACGAAACCCTCCCGAAAGGATAAAAGAAACAAGAGGGGCTCTAAAACCAAGCCTCCCGAGTTGACTCGCTCGGAGTTTCACTCTTCGCCGCCGGAACCACCCCCGGAGGGAAGTAGTAGCGGCGGTGGTGGTGAGGTTGAAGTTGGTGAAGGTGGTGACAGGGATGAGGATGAGGAGAAAGGGTCGGTGAGAAGGTTTATGAGTTTCATTGGAGAAAGAATTTGGGGTGCTTGGGGTCCCTGAAAGAATTTTCAAGAGAAAAGGTTACCCTTTCTTTCTCTCTTTGGGTTTTTTGTTTTTGTTTTATTTATAAACTTTTTTTGCTGTTGTACATTAATCACTTCTCTTCAATGTATAAAAAGAAATGGCAGCTTCGTTTTTGCTTTCCACTAGTTTTGTTATTGTTTCAATCAAATAATAGAAATTAATTTACCGTTTTTTTGGTTTTAGTCTTGAGCTTGTAACTAAAGCCTCAATGTTTCTTACTTGGGTAGAAGCATGAAAAGATAGAAAAAATTGTTTCTTTCTGAGTATGGAATCAACAATTTGTCGAGGTAAATTAGCCTAATGGGTTTACATAATGATAATAAATAATATGGGTTTTGCATATTTCAGTACCTTATACTCTGATTTTGACTTCATTTAATCTTGCAAAGTAGGAGGTTTGCATAGGTTTTGATTTTTACTTTGACTCATAACTAAAGCACCACTTAACAGATATGTCTGGGAAATTGAAACTCCAAATGCCTTTTTTTTTTTTTTTTTTTATAGATTCGAAATAATGGAGCTGATTGTGTTTAATCAATTTCATATGAAGGTGAGTAGTGGCATTTCTCGTAGGACAAAGATTTTGTTAATGGAAGTTATAGAATATTTGGACAGGATCTAACACTAAGATTATTTTGTAAATGCATATATTAGGTGATAAGGTAGTTATGCATGCAATAACAATGCGGATCAAATTATTTACTTTGGTTAAGAGTTTTGCAAGAGGCTAAAGAAAAGTCAGACAAAAAAAACAGAGTTGTTAGATTTTGGTTGTAATTCCATGGGACAAAATGAGAATATGGAAATAAAGTAGTATGATATTTTTTCATAATTATTTTTATTTACATGTTTCTTCCTCTATGAAAATGTTTTAAATTTGTTTTCATGTAATCTATTTTTATTTTAAAAAAAGAGTAATAATGAGATGGAAGTAGTAGGGAAGTGTGAGTAGAAGATGGTGCGTCATGAACTTTTGAAACGCCGGTGAAGAGGAATAATAATTATGGTGTAATGAATAGGGAATAAATAAATAAATTTGGAGAATAGAAAAAGAAAGAGACGGGAAGGGTAGGTGTCGCGGAGAACGAGGTCGGCGAAAGCAAAGGGACTTCGATTAAAGCAAACAAAAGAGCCAGAAAAAGTTGTTCTTCTCTTTCTCTCTCTAACGCCACTCCAAATTTATTCTTCGTTCTTCCCAAACACCCTTCATTCACTCTACCGTCTCAAACTCAACGACAAACTGTTTGTCGGGTTAAACTTCACATTTTTATAATATTTTAAAATATTATCATTATTTTACTATTAGATGTTGATCTTTTCAAAATTATAATTAAATAATTACTTGTAAGAGACAAAATATTTATATGATTTTAAATTTTTAAAATAATCTTCATGATAGACAAAAACACATGGTATTTATTATTCATGAATCAGAATAATTAAAACTGTTGCGATAAAAATTTGTTTATGCAAATTATAATTGAAGAAAGAAGTTTCAAAATAATGATGTATAAATGGAGAGAATATTATGAATAAAAGTTATTTTCATTATCTTAAAATATTATTGTAAATTCACAAAATGAGATGTATATGTACTTTTTACATGTTTATTTTTTTTGGAATATAAAAACATTAAAAATTAAACCAAATGTTTATTTATACTTTTTCTCTGTGATTTTGGTGGATGGATTAGTTGTTGAAAAGATTATTATACAACTCATGTCGCAGCAAATATTGTTTTTTTATTAGTTTATAAAACACATTCGGATGAGGACATTCTTCACGCCTTTTGCAACTTGTACTGCTTTTATTTCTTACACTAATCATGATGTAATTATACGATATTATTCATCGATGGTATACAAATAATACGTATTAATAAATATACATTAATATGGATAAAATAAGACAATTAATTACATCTGAAAATAAAATTGTCTAGAATCATTATATTCTCAATTGAAATAATTTATTATCTCTTCCAGTGTTTGAAATTAAAAAAAAGAGTTTGATGATGAATGGAGAATGGGTAGAGTGGTAGTGTGATGGAGTATGAAATTATAAAAGGCTATTAATTGACACGCTTTGCTGGGGAGTAGTATCTCTCAAATGTGGATCTCCATGTTTTGTGTTTCTCAATAAGCAATTAATTAAAAGTTTAATGTTCCTAAGACAATAAAATAATACTTTTTTACACTCTTTTCACCATTAATTAATTACCTTTTAGCAACACTTTTTCATTTAATTGCCTTATTAGCTATCAGGTCAATAAAGTAAATAAACTAAAAATCTAATTTATAGCCACATTTTAACTCTTTTTCGTAAAAATAGTAAAATCATTAAATAGTAGAGGGTCCCATTCATTGCCCGTAATTTGAGAAGTAAAATATTTTAATAGCTTAACCTGTAGTTAAAGCATGTGAGTGAGATTAGCCCTGAAACAAGACAAAACTGTTCCTGTTTTGTGTCCTAAATTTTGGTTCATCGCAATCCTTGACTTTTGTTTGCAATAAATTTTGAAACTTCTACTTTCTATCCTCTCACGGTATGACTCTACATAATCTTCTCTAGTCTTTTGCTTAGTCATTAAGAAATGAATATATAATAAATTTCATCCCAAAAAATCACGTAATTATTTATTAAAGAGGTAAATAATATATAATATATATCATTTAACTGTCGGAATGTCTTAAGGGTTGTCGAACTATCACTCTTCAAATATTATAAAAAATTATATAAAACTTATACATTGATTATATTAAAGATGATACACTTTAATTGATTAAATGATTTCGCATACACAAATATATTATATATAAGGTTATCCTTAAATAAAAAGTACTTAACACGATCTATATATAATTTCAATTGGACATTCGATACAATTTTATTTTCTTCTTTCTCTATAATTTTTTAAGGTGACTACTTTTTTTCTCTAAATATTTGTAGATAAAAAGGAAATTACAGGATTGTTATTTCATTATGGGATTTTGTAAGTAGATAATGTATTATTATTATTATTATTACTATTAGTTTGGTAAAATAAGTTTAAAATTTAGTTAAGAGTTGGTTAAACTTAAATGTTATCTAATATTCTACATTTGACTATTAATCTTATTTTTACATCTTAAAACATTTTCAGTTGAAGTTAAATGTAAATCAAATAAACAGAAATTTAATAAAGTGTTGTACTTTTGTTATTATGACTATTAATGTAATGATTAAAGTATTGTAATATTAAAAAAATAGAATAAATAATATATACCTAGACTAAGATATGATAATTAGAAGAATAATACGTACATGTATATAAAATTAGTTAATTGAGTTAACGTTGTTTGCTAGGTGCACAATGAATTATGGAATATATAAAAGATGTCCATTAATATTTTTTCAAAGTGGCAAATGCAAGCATAATTACAATGACGCGTATAAGTAATAAAGATACAATTTTTAAAAATTAAATTTTTTGATATGAATGATAATAAGTTGATAAGGAGAAAAGGGGATTGTAGTGGAGTTAGGTATTGAGTCCATCATGCCTTCTTCGTTCTCAATTATGATTCTCATGCGCCCATAAATAAAGATATGCACTAAAACGAAATAATACAGCAATGATCCAAGTTTCTTTTTTAGTGTTGGTAAATAAAGATAAATTAATTTTAAGTTTCAATAAATTGAAATTATGCTAAGGAGCTACTGCTACGGCTTATGCAATCAATAAATTTTGTCCTTTTAAAACATGGTGCATGTGAGTTTGAGGGTTCTTAAGAGGCCAAAAGAAAATAAGGAGATGTTTGTGCAGATATTAACTGCTAATGAATGTAATCTCAACAACCAAATGATCCATAAATACTGTAATTAAATGTTTTCCTTTTCATGTTTGCCACTTCTAAGACTCCCTTTCAAGATGCTACTATATGCTTTAATATACGTTGCTGCGCCACAGACTGTTTAGATTCATGTGCCCCACTACCCAACAAAACAACATTTTTTTTCCCTTCATGTCTACTGGATAAGAAGCAGATCCTCAAAGAAAGTGAACAAAAGAGAAATCAGAAAAGCAAAGGGTGCATCTCAAGTAACAAGCCACACTTCTGTGACTGATACTACTTATAATATTAAATAGCAATTACAAATAATTGTACAAAACTTATGATGACTCCCTGCGGATTTTATGCTTTTATCACAAAAATATCTGGTGGACTGACTGACCTATATGAATTCTACAATATTGTGTGACACTAAAGCATTTCAAGCTGTACTTTGAATCTACCCAATTTCTTCAATAACTATGCTGAACTGAGAATTTAATTATTCATGAGTTTTGGCTATGTGCAAAGGTTTTTATAGTTAGCTTGCAGGGTGTTTTAATAAGGTGGAAATTAACTTTTAAGACAAGAAGAGGGATAAAATATGGAGGAGGGTTCCAACAAAAGTGTAATTTTGATTAAGACTTATGTTGTGGTGGGTGGAATTTAACAGTTGCCAATTTATTAATGCAGTGGTACTTTGCTCTCATTTTGTTTGGTAGGATGGATTGTTGAGTTTGGTTAGCATATGGTAGTGGGAGGTTGGTGTGATTCAGATTACGGTTTCTGCTATAGCTAACTATATAATCGCACATTTTTTGCATGCAATATAGATGAAGTAATTAATTCCACTTGTACTAGAGTTGTGTGTGTTTGGAAATTAAGAGTTACGCAGATCACTTTATTCAGTTGTACCTGTCTTTAATGAAATAACTGATCCCTTTGACACAACTGAAAAAAGGTACAGTTACATAATAATACAGTTGAAAGAACATGAAGCACGTATAAATATTTATATATAATGCAAAGTTATAAGAGCTTCAATATGGATGACAGCAGCAATATACCTTATATATGGAATCAAGCCTGTACAGGTATGGAAGAGCTCATAGAGACACAACCTTTTAAGCGTTCGATAATGGCGTTTTTGCTGACAAGGCCTGAATGATGGGTCAGAGGAAGACCCTCCTTCACACACTCATCGTACTTCTCCAGAGTGCACACAATGTCACTGAAATCTGGCCTCTTGGAAGGGTTTGCTGACCAACAACGCTTTATCAGATGGGCAAGTGCTGGTTGGCAACTAGCAGGTAGTGGAGGCCTTTCGTTCTGCTCAAAATAACTCAAATCACCACTTAATGGAAAAACAACAGAAAATAGCAGAGGCTATAATATCTCTTAAAACTAGTTCTAACAATAACTTTTAATTGTAAGATAGCATAAAATTCTCCCTAGTGCATAAAAAAGTTACACTCACAAGGAAAAAGAAAGGACCACAATGGAACAACTGTTCACTGAAATGTTTTTCAACTCATTGGGCCATTTAGGGGGTGCTTGTTGGGGCTAAGGAGGGAAACATTGAAGGCCCGTCCATCCATTTAATCCATCAAAGGATTCAAGTCAAGACCTATGTTGGTCCATGAACTTGCTATTATACTTTGTGCATCGAATTCCTCCTACTTCCGACAACATTACTCAAAATTCATGGGAAATCTAGACCCAAAAAAATAAAGAATCTCAAAAGGAAGTTGGTACAATTTCTCACGTGGAGTTAGCTGAAATGTGGTCAAATTATTCCAGCTTACATGCTTGGAATGCTACCTTGCTGGCATCAGTAACTGTGCCGGATGCTATGTTATTAGCTACGTACGTTATTTGTTCCATTTTAGGTACACTTGTCAACAGTTCCTCTATTACATCTTTACCCCGTACAGTGGTAATTAGCCTACTTTATTCTACAGAAACTTTTCTGTTCTATAAGAAAATGCAATCACCAAATACACCTTGATGTTGCTACTCCAACGATCTTGACAAAACTATTAATGTAGCAGTTACAATTTTATGTCATCTTGCCTGCGTTTGTGTTTTATGGTTACAATAACATGTTACCAATTTTTTTATATGAACAATCATTAGTATTAGAAAAGAACAAGGAAAAAAAAAACTAAGCAGAGAATTATATATTGATGCAGCATTATATCTGAAATCAACCATCTTCATAAACATGAGAAATATGGGTATAGGGATGTGACCTTCTCAGCAACAGCAAAAGCAGCCTGAACAGGGGTCATTCCTTGGAAGGGAAGTAGAGCAGTAGTGAGTTCCCAAAGCACAATTCCAAAACTGTAAACATCAACTTTACGAGTGTAAGGTTTTTCCTTAATCATCTCAGGTGCCATCCATCGATATGTCCCCATGTTTCCCTTGGTCTCCCGACACCGTGTTTCGAGACACGATGTTCCAAAGTCTGCCACCTTAACCCTCATCTCATCGTTGAGCAGCAAGTTATTTGACTTGAGGTCTCTGTGGATCACACCTTGTGAATGAAGGTACTCCATACCCCTTGATATGTCAAGAGCTAACCTTAGTATGGTTTCTGTGGAAAGAGAGTAGGGTTCCTTCTTGTTCAGATACATCCTCAGAGTTCCTTGTGACATGTATTCTGTTATGATACAATATACTGGCGGTTTTTTACAAGCTGCAATAAACTGTAAATTAATACACATCAGACACACCTTAATTAGTACCCTCCATCTTCATATTCATATTCATTTACTATAATATATGCAAAATTATTACACACTCCCCTGCAATTCAACATAATAAATGCGATTGATCACTACAACCACATAAATAAATAAATATGATGCTGTACATGTTGCATCCGTAAAAATACACCAGAAAAGTCAAAAGGAAAAAATTTGTTTAGGCCAAGTTGCTAGTTTCTCATTATGGTAATTTATTACTATTTAACAAGTTCCTCCCTGCCCCCTATCTTCTATTTTCATTTTCACCACTAAAGTGGTAATTAAGTGGATGTATTATTATTATAAAAAGAAAAGAAAAGATCATAACAAGCAACAGCAAATTATTTTAGGTGAACTGAGGAAAAGATCAGAAACTAATTAATCTCTCAAGTTTGCATGGACATTCATTTAAAAGATGACCTCTCTCCTAAAAAGTACTCCTTTTTTATACAAACAAATATGAGATTGCATAGAACATGATTATATATCAATTCTTTTAAGTATGTGATCATGGTTTAATCTGAGTATGTATGTAGTAGAATTTTGAAGTGAAAACAGTTCAATAGTGTTTTCCTTCAATTCCAAATCCGAGAACACCGTGGGGACGAGAAGGTATGTGTATGTTCAGAGACTCACAGGTGAGTGGTGTAGTGTTTAAGAGCTTAATTACCTGCACTATGTTAGGATGAAAGAGACGTGAAAGTAAAGCCACTTCAGACTTGAATTGCTGTTCGAGCAAGCCTCTTCTCTCCTCATCCTGTGTGGGAATCCTGACCATTTTGACAGCAACAGCTCTCTGCTTGTAAATTCCACGGTAAATCCGACTGTGAGCACCAGAAGCAAACTTGTTACCTATGAAAAGTTGGGATAGGTCAGCAGTCCACTCTTCTTGATCCTCCTTTGATGCTTCCCATGTCTCCACATTCTCAGAGTCCAATATCATCGACCATGATTCCAAGCTATCAAACCTTCTTCTCTCCATATTTTCCAAGTCGGAATTCAACCGGGTCTTGGAAGATGAAGAGGGTTCTGGCAGAGGCTTGCTCTTGAACCTCCTCAAACGAAGCGCATGGAAACATGAGCCTCCCATTGAAGCTCTAGCAAAGTGCATGCCTCTGAAAGAGATATGTGCAGTGAGTGATGCTTGCTTTGCTTGTCAAAAGAAGCTGTCAAAAGGAGATTTTCTTCTGAACGTGTGAACAGATTTCAGGAAGTGCATGAACCGATTCCAAAACATAGGCTCCAACAAAAAATGAAAAACAAGAAGAAGAATATGTGTCAAAATGATTCATTTACGAATTCAGAGAAGACCCTTCTGGCTTGTAAGAGAGGTAAATTTCAAGCAGTTCTCACGCTTGGTTTATCGATTCAAAGCTGTGAAGGGTGAAAAATTCTGCAACACACCCATAGGAATTGGAACTAATTGCAGGGAACGTTCATGAAGATGGAAATTCCAAGGAGAAAGAGAAGAGAAGAAGCAGTTTTCACGGTTTGTTTTCTCCTAATAGGACGGGTCAGAAGGATTAGGTCGTGTAGCACCATAAAGATGAATTCAAAGGGTGAAGCTTCAAGGGTGTCTCGTGAGTGCTTGGTTCAAAAGTAGAGCCAGAGAGAGAAAGAGAAAGAAAGAGAGAAAAACTTTTTGCTCGATTTTAATTTAATTGAGCTACCTTGCTTCTGTTTGGGTTTCTTTCCTTCCATGCATCATCACATCATCAATGATAAGTGGCCACAGTGCAAAGCATGGTAGATTTGAGCTTAGCGTTTTGCTCATCCAACAATTTTGTACTTTTCATTCTGCTCATAGTTTGGGATATGTCCCATACTGCATCCTTTAACTGTAGCACCACATTGTCAGCACCAAAAAGGTCCTGGAATACATGTACATGTGGCACCTAACGTAACCAAGAGATAAAGATTAAAAGCGCGCACAAGGGCCAAGTCAAGAACCGTTTGATCCAAAAAACGCAACTCATGATTCTACTCTTAATTTATCTTTCCTTCTCCTCACCAAAATGTACTGAAAGGTACAGAAAGTGCATGCAGTACCTTAATCGACGGATTTTGATTTGGAGTTGCAGTGGCAGGCATTTTTTGTGAGTTGAGTCTGCTTTATTCCATCTGCGATAATCAATTCAAGAGAGCACTAACCATTTGATCAAGGCAACATTGTGTTCTTTAAGCATTTCAATTGTGGATAATCTAAGCATATAATATTCCAGTTCATGCATTGGATTAAATTTTCGCAAAGCAGGGGATTCTAAGCGTGGAATCCGTTCTTTAAAAGAAACAAATAAAATTGAAAGGTGTGAACCTGATTAAGACAAATGTGCTAGGAAATAAATTAGAAGGGTGTGGAAAACATAGCGTATAAAGATGAATGATTAAGGGAACAAAATACTCGTACCAAACCAACCCTCCATTTCACCGTCCAATATTTCGTTCCAAACACTCGGTATGGTCCAAAATAGTTTGATTCCAATTCAATCAACAGCGACCAGCATGCCGTTAATCAACTTTTTTTTATTTTGTATTTTTCCTTCCACGGTACTAGTTAGTTATTTTGTTTTTCTTATGAATAAAGATTAATCATTTTATTGTTAGATTGTTTGACAGGGATGTTCTACTAATCTTAAATTGAAAACTTTAAATGTCTAGGTTTGGTCAAATATTTTAAAAAATTATTATTTATTGATTTAAGTAAAAGTAAAAAGAAAAAATGTTTTTCAATTATACGACCACCTTGGAGGAATCTAATATTCTAGGACATTTTTTAATTAGGTCCTTCATTTTCATATGTCGTAGTCATGTAAAGCATTTACCATACTATAATTCTTAACAAACTTATTTTCGAGATCAAAATTTGGTATATATACCAAGCGTCCTATAATAATCGCGCGCATGTATATACTCATAAATTAAAATTTTATACGATTCAAGAGTAGTTTACTTTATCTTAATCGATCAAATTGTTTTTTAAAAATAAAATCTTAGACAGAGCATTTATATCAACTAGTTGATTAAAGAAAAAATCTTTACAAATTATAAATTTTTTTAGAAAACAATATTTCAAACATAATAATTAACTTTAATTATATTATCAAGCAATATAAGATCAAAATACTCTTATTTTTTAGACTTTATATATATATATATAACTATGAAAGATGTCCAGGATTAGATAATTATTTAATGAGTTATTAAATTTTTATTTTTTTATGAAAAATCTTATATTTTATCTGATATTCAATAGTTTTTTTTTCTATTGATGATATATTTAATAAATGGGTCTCACGTAAATACTTCATTAAATGATTAACATGTAAAATAATTTTGATGGATTTTATAATAATTATCTTACAAATTATATCAATCAAACTTTTTTATTGGTTGATATTATATGAAATAATTGTTCAAACGATTAGTATAAATCATACACATGAACTGATATTGAATAATATTTTTTATAGAAAATATATTAATTAAAACAGTGTTTTTTTAATATTTTAAGAAGTTTTTGCCTACGAATACAGATGTGAATGCAAAATATAAATATGAAGATGAAGGTTGTGGAACAAAAATTCCATGTTGATTAAACCTTCATCAATCATTCTCTTTTTGGTGTCTTGAGCATGGAGATTTCTTCTGGTTTCTTTATGCGTGAAACTTTTTCTGCAGTGTATTGGATGAAGCTATATTTATTTGGAGGAGAAAGAGAAAAGTAGATGCTCCTTATAATGTATCATCTATCTATTACATAATAATATGCGTAGTAAGTATTCATTAACTTTCGAGTATATTATTTTTCTGTATATAATAATGGAATACTTTTTAAGGATTCATAACCATGTATATATTATAAAATACAAGATAACAATAATAAAAATTATTTTGAGTATCATTCATTAATTAATAATCATAATAATAATTAATAATGCAGATATTTGAGAAGGATGAGATACTTAATAATCTAAATTTTCTTTTTAAAAAATAGAAATACCTTATATTTAGTTTGATAGTCGATTCAAAATATTTTATAAATAAATTAAATTAAAAATAAATATAATACTATTTTAATATATTATAAATTAATTTAATAAAAGATTCATTTAAATCTAAAAAATAAATCTTTAATATTAACTTATTTAAGATGTATTTATTAAGGTAAATTATTATTTTATACATTAAATTACTAAAATAAATAAATAATGATAACAAATAATAATTTTTTAACTACCAGTTTTGAAATTAAATAAATCATTTCTCTTATAATTTATATATCAATTTTTTATATATAAAAATAAAAATTAACTTTATTGATATAATTTAAATTTAAAATGTATAACTTTTGTTTTTAATTATTTATTTATTTTAATTAATTATTTTAATATAAATAATTTTTTTTTCATTAAATCAAAATTGATCCATAATATAAACATGTTTACTAATAGAGAAATATCATAGAAACTGTTTAAAATAATTTTTTAAATTGCTCTAAACATTTGTTAAGGTCAATATGTATGTAGTATCAGTTTTAAATTAAAAATAAACCTAGGGAACAACTTTTTTAAAAGCTAGATACAATTTATTTATTAAAACAAATAAAAAATATATTTTAATAATTTTTTTTAAAACACACATAAAATTTAAAAATATGTTAATTTTATTAAAAAATAATGGAATCCTAAGAAATATTTACTTATCTAAAGAAAATATAAAATTTTCCTAAACATTAGTACGTGAAACTAAATTTTAAATCTGAGACCCAGTTATATGTAGAAAAAGGTATTAACACTTAGCGACAAGGATTATCTTTAATTAAATATGAACATTTTAATTAATTTAAAATTTATTTATTTGTTATATATATATATATATATATATATACTTTTTTTCTTTTTTTCGTTTAATTTTTTGCCTTACGGACAAAACCGAGTGTTCAAATTGTCTCCAAACAAAAATAAGGTAATATATGGATTTTGGTATTCATCCTCACATTTACCACTTATGAAAATCTTGATTTACTATAGTTTTAAATTTATCTTGTTTTATTTTTATTTTCTTCCTTAAAAGGAGAATTTGAGAGAATAAGATATTTAAACTACGTTCTTATAGAGAGAAAGTGGCGCAATAGTGCAATGAGATAAAATAAAGTGAAATATTTAAATAAATTTAATGATCTTTATCGGATTACAGTAGACATTCAAAAATTATTAAATAGAATAAAGTGTATTACAGTCTTCCCTTCCATTCCAAATAATTATTTTTCGTTCCTCCCAATATATATATATAATTTTCTATTATTTTCCTATTGGTCGGGTTTTACCAAGCCTAGTTACAAATGAATACCTTCCCAAATGCTGAATACTAGAAAATATTATTGAATAAAATTATTGTTTTAGTTAATTTGATATATGAAAATTTCACCAAGTTCGTTCTGGAAATCACAAATCAAAATAAAAGAGGCCAAAATTGGTAAATAACAACCATTTAAAAAAAGTACACTAAAATGGAAGAAATAAATTTTAAAGGTAAATATAAATAACCTCAATAACTTAAAAAATAATGTTATAATAAACATGTTATCATAAGATACTTACAGTTATGATTACAGCGACACTCTATTGATCATTATTTTTTAATAATTATCCTAACCGTACTATATATTTTTAAAGTACCTCCCGTTACTTTAAAAAGCTAAAACTTTGAAGAGGAAAAAAAAGTCATTTAAACCAAGTTACAACAAATGGCACAGGTAGGGATGAAGTTCTCTTCAAAGTTGTCTAACCTTTTCAGATACTACGTAGTAGTAGTTGACAAATACCCGTGACTTGACACTTGCCATGAGGGTATTTGATTGACCGCCAATTTTATAACATATATCCAAAGAACCGAATATATATTATATATCTCACTTGAAATTTACACAACATTTTCATTTTTACACAACAAACAAAATTTCAAGTGCGCTATCACTTGAGTTTCTTATCAAATGAATCATCAACTCTAATATTAGAGTTCTATATGTAGAGGTACTAATAATAACCAAATAAAAAAATATAGATCATTTTTAACTCAAAACCTTAAAATAATAAATATTTTTCATTTATAAATTATTCAACTTTCCTATTTTTATCCAATATAAAATTTTAAAATATGAATGACAAAATCATTCAGGTCTGACAAGATACTCTAGTATGACAAGATAAATTGGTATTTTTAACCTACTAGCCCATTTTGGCCTGACCCATCAAACTTGTCAATTAGTCGAGCCAATCTGCTGAACAAGATAGGTCGACCTACAATCCACCTAATTAATAAAAAAATAATTTTTTTATTATAATTCAATTATTCATAAAAACAATATATAAAATTAAAAATTATAAAAATAAAATTTAAAAAAATATCACTCTCACTCGAAACATTCTTTTTACTCAAACATAAATTATTCTCTCTTTTCTTGTTATTCATCATCTTTCTCCTAAGCAATGATTATTCTTATTCTCTCTTCTCCTTGTTATTCATCATCTTTCTCCTAAGCAATGATTATTCTTATTTTCATGACTTGAATTAAAGGTGTAAGAATTAATTAAGAGAAAAATAATATGAAATTTTATCAAATAAAAAAGATATAAGTATTGAATTTTTTATTATAAAAAATATAAATTTTACATGTTTTTATATTATTTATATATTTGTTATTATTTATTATTATATAAACTATATTATTATTCTAAATTATAATTCCTTAAAATAATGTGTTGATTTATATTATTAACTTAAAATATATATGTTAAATTATTGAAAAAAATTAATAATCTTATTATTAAATTTATTAAAAATTGATTTAAAAAAATATTTTTTTTAAATAATGACATACCAATCCATCAGCCCATCTTTTGACAAAACGGACCAAAATCTATAACTCGTTATGACTATAGTGAGTCAGTTCACCCAACCCCGTTTTTTACGGATCAAAAAAGACGAGACAGGTTAAAACGGAGCAAACTTACCCGTTTTGTCATTCTTACTTTAAACATACTTGAATTTCCAACCATTTATTCATAGGGTATTATTATTATTATATTAATAAATTTAATTTCAAATCCACGTGAACTAATCATCACTCTTTTTTTTTTTTCTGCCATCTAGTGTAATTTTCCCTAATATTCTCTTATTGTGCATAATTTTATTAAGAAAAAAGTGATAACTCTATGTTCATTAATAAACCCAAGCAAAGCTTCGTAGTATCATTGCAGTATTAAAAAGAAATTGAAATAAACACTTGTCAAACCATGTGAACATGTATATAATAGACCCCCATAGGTGAAGAGGGTCGTAACCACTGACAGGACATGTGTAGAACTTGCCCCGGTACCACATGATCCTCGACCATGCAATAAACTTCAGATATGTTTTGACAGAGAAAATAATAGTGGAAGCTACAACCTGGAAGGAGTTCCCCCAGCAACCACTATAGTCTCTCCTGTTATATAAGAAGCATCGTCAGATGCCAAAAATGCTGTTGCAGCAGCCATGTCTTCTGTTGTACCAAGTCTTCCAAGAAATGTTTTACCTTCAAGCTCTTTCCTCTGCAGTAACACAGAAAATCCACCCAAATGACAACGAGGAATGGGATTCAAGGGAGGAGGAAAAACCTATTTGGGGAGGTGGGGGCGTTCAGAAGACACTCACCACGGCATCATTAGTGGTAATGAATGAAGCAAAATTGGTTGGCACAAAACCAGGAGCAACACAGTTTACACGAGTGTCTGGGGCCATCTCAGCAGCCAGGGCCTATCCAACATATTACAAATCATTAGCAAATTAAAAATAAAATAAAATAGATAGTAGCATTGGTTTATATTCTTTTGAAGGAACAATTACAAGTCGAGTACCAACTTTCGTAAGTCCAAGAAGGGCCGTTTTGGTCACTCCATACATAGCCAAAGAAGGTGGAGGGTTATAACCAGCAATTGAGGAAATGATAACAACAGAAGAACCCTTTTGCAAGTGAGGCAACGCATCCTGCATATATCATAAAGTGATCAACACACCACAAACCAATCACATCATATGAAGATGACATAAAAAGCAAAATGCTGAAAACATATTATATCAGATTCTTTCTTTTTTCTCTTTGTTTTGGTCATTTGACAGAGTTAATTACCTTCAAAAGAAGTATAGTAGCTTTGACATTTATTTCCCATAGCTTGTCAAGGACAGTGTCCTTTGTCTGCAAGATGGCATCAACAGAAGGATTTGCAGCAGCATTGGACACGACAACATCTATTTTTCCATACTTCTGTAACAAACCAAAATGTTCAATCACGCATTTGAACTAAGTTGGAAGGCCAAGATTATTCACTGTTACCAAATCAAACATTGTGATGTAATTAAAAATTATTTAATTTTACAATAAGAATTTAATAAGCATGTAATTAAGTATAAAAAAATTTTAAACTCTCAACCACTTCGAAATCAGCCCTATTATAACATTTATCACAAAAATTCAACAAATTTACCGCCCAACAACCTTCGACAACTATGAGTAGACATATAACTTAAAAGAATTACTTAAAGTGATGGTAAGTGTGATTTGAGCTGGTTTAGAGTGTTAAAATGTTTTAGATATGAAATAAAAGGCTTGTATATGAAAAAATATTAGATAATTGATCTGAAGAAGATCTGACCTGCACAGTTTTGTCGATCAAGTTCTTCCGTTGTTGAGGATCAGAAACATGACAAACAACCCCTAACACTTCAACTCCTATGGCCCTGAGATTTTCCGCCGCCGCGTCAACGTTTTGCTGTGGTAATTGAATGAAATGAAGGGAAAACCTAAAATATAGTGCATAATGTGCCGTCCCAGAGTACGGATGCGAGAAAAGAGATTAAGAAAAGGGAATCGAACCTTTTTGCGAGAAGAGACGACAACGGATGCACCCTCGAGGCCAAGCCTCTCGGCTATGGCTAAACCGATTCCCTGCGTGGAAGCGGTGACGATGGCCACTTTTCCTTCAAATCTCTTTGACTTAACCATTCCCACTTTCGATGCAATCAAAGCTAACAACAACTTTCAACAACGTAGGGGGACTCCACCATGCTTTCTATACGCTTCTTATCACTTATTTTATTTCCATTATTTAATTATTTTTGTTTATTTATTTTGTTTGATTGTTGATACAAATTACATAAAAATTTCATTAAGTCTCTCAATGTTTACAAATATAACTATTTTCTATTCAATTATTATTAATTATTAATAATTTTGATTTGCATATAATACAATTAATGATTAAAATGGTGACAATTTATAACATTAATTATATTCATTTATAACATTAATTAAATAGTGACAATTTATCCAATTTATTTATTCCCTCTTCTTATTTCCTAAATTGTCCTAGAATTTGGACCTTTTTTCTTGTCCTTTTATTTCCTATTTTTTTTAATTATAACATGTTTTTTGTTTTCAATATTTTACAGAAGATAAATAAGTTATTTCTATTAAAAAATTAAAATATTAATAAAGTAACATTTTTTAATTGAAAATAAAAGAAAAAAAATCAAAATCAAACTAAAAAATATATTTTTCTTTATATTTATTGCTACTGGTAACTTTTAAAATAAATAAAATAATTCAAACACTCACTAACTTTTGCCTTTGAAAATTAAATAAGTTATATTTGTGTAAATCTAATCCTATATTAATTAATTATAATTTACATGCATATAAGTCATTTGGCATATAACTTAGACCTGTTAAATGTAAATGAGATTAACATTTTTGTTAAATTTATATGAACACCTCTGTTTCACCTAATAAGATAGAGAGAATATTACTACTAATTTTGGTGAGCTTTTGTAAAATTTCCCCGACGTGATTCTTTATAGGAGTTGAACTTTTATAACTAGTTACTTTAAAATATTATTATATCTTTAAAAATTTCAAAGCCAATAATAAATTTGTAAAATTAGTTGTTGATGACACCAAAAATATAAAAGATAAATATTATCGAGAAACACATTCATAATTATTTAGTTTCATTAAAAGATTATTATATTAAAAAAATTCATTTATTTGTTTATCTTACGTTATTAATTAATTAAAAATGATCATCCATCCTAATTTTTTTATCAGAAAAATAAGATAATATAAATTATCCGTCATAGACGGACTACATACTTCAATAATAAAAGATTTCAATCCTTCTTATTAAAGGACAGATTGACCAACCATATATATATATATATATATATATATATATATATTAAAAAGTATATTTTATTAGATGAATAATTTTTAAATTTTTATTTATTAATTAATATTTTTATTATATAATTTAAAAAATTATTATATCTATATGTCAAAATAATTAAATATAATTAATTTTTTAATTTAAATTATAATATATTTAAATATTTCTAAGAAATATAATAAATTTTATTTTTATTTTAATATATATATATATATATATATATATATATATATATTATTTCAAAATCGATTAGTGTATTAGTCTTAGTCTTTCTATATCATCCGTCAAATTAGGATTAATTGGGATAAAAACAAGTTAAAATTACTAACCTTTTTTATCACTTTTATATGATTCATCGAACTTAATTTATTTTATCATTAAGATCGATTATTATTTTAAAAGATAGAAGTGAGTTGGTATTTAGGTAAAAGTTTTTTCAAAAAACATTCTATGTTTTGATATAATTTTTCTTACATTTCATAATTTTATTTTCTATATTTATTTTAAAAGATAATAACATTTTTATTAATTTCATAAAATAAGTGATTATGAAGTATTTTGAATTAAAAAATTTGGAAAAAATTACGCATGAACGAATCTATGAATATATCATTTTTTAAGTTTTGCATCGTAAAATTAGAATATAATATTACTGCAAAGATTAATTCAAAAAGATATTTAAAAATATTTCTTGATTTTTTTTAAAATATTTCAGAATGATTTTTTTAAAATTTTAAAATTAATTTTTTAAATATTTTTTTAAAAATTGATTCCGGAATGCTTTTAAAGATCAATTTAAATTATTTCTAAAACTAAAATATTTTAAAAATATTTTATTGAAAATATTTTAAAAGCTTCTGAAAATTTAAATTTAAAACTACGTCACAATATAAATTAAATTTAGAACTACATCATAGAATTGTCCTTTTAGGTAAATACGAGGGGAAAAAAAACGAGAAAGCCCAACAATACCCCTGCGACTGAGCATGGCCTTGATGTCTGACGCAAAGCGTACTATGATTATAATTCTTTCCTTGTCTCCTCTTTGCTGTCATACATTATATAAAAAAAAAAAACACTATTTACATCATAAGATAAACTCAAATAACACAAACTCTCAAATGAATTTTAATGTAATTTGTCAAACACTTCCTTCTTTCTTTTAGCATATTTGACATGAAGTTTATACTTTGAAAAGTTCATGAGTTTATGAACAATTAAAGTATTTGACAAACTAACTTTCTTTCCTACTTCAACTAACTTATAATTTGATAGCTCATTTTTCTTTTATCATATTTGATAAGTACATGGATAGGAAGGAAAGAAAGGATTTTAAGATGAGGAGGACCTTGTCAAAGCTGGTACTAGAGAGCGTATTTTTGTTGATAAACCATGTCTTTGTTTACTTATTTTGGTATTTCATGTACTTAAGCCTCATGACTTTGTTTGGTTATGATTGTAGAATATGATTAGAAACATGACTTATGAATACCCCTCTTCAAGGAAGAATCTGAATCTTTTTTGCATATAAAAGACAAGACATGAAAAACAAGACATTTCCTAGGTCCGTTGCTCTCTATACATGGATTAGTTGCCTACTACAGAAGATGTTGGGACTTGGGCGGTAACAACATCAAATGCAAAATCCTTGAAGCACGTCTATAAATGTTACAGGCTCTTCTATTTTACAATTTTACGAAATTGAATTTACTACTTGGTTAAAAGTTATAGTTATTAATTAGAATATAACTTTTTTTACTTAGTTAAAATAAAACTCTTTTTATTTAAGAGTAACAACATAAGGGACACGATTCGATTGTAGTTTGACTCACTTAATCTTTATCACGGGACAATTAATAATACTTGTACTAATCTTCTCCTAAACAATTATCCTACAAAAAATCTCATTCTTTGATTGTAACTCGACCCACCCAATCCTATTTTTGGATTGTGACTCAACCCACCGACCTTCGCATGAGACAATTATACAATCCGTAACAATCTCCTTCTTAATAATTATCCACCAGAAATCGATCTACCTTAATTCTAATATCAATAGTTAGAATCGAGCACCTACCACTTGACCAAAATCTATAATATTTTACCAAATAATAAGCGTTTGATCATAAAAGTATGATATATCTCATTTGAATCATGTGATGAGTTTCCAAAATTTAAATTAACTTGAATTTATCTTAAAAATTTCTCAAGTGACATGTTCTTCTCTTTTACTTTTATTCCATGTTTTTCTATTTTGATTTTTAGTTTTGTTCACTTTTCTTAATTTCACAATTTTTCTTGTTAATATTTGTTTCATTAATTCTAACTATTGCTGGAAATTAGAAATGGGTATTACATTAGGAAAAAAAAATACAATGTGAAAATACTAACTATTATAATACAAAAAAAAAATGCATGTGTGCGCTGACTTTAAAATGATAGAGTTACTTTTACATTTTTTGTTTTACGTAATTTGAAGAGAAAATGTAGCATGAAAATGCGAATCCAGACGCACTGAAATGAGCTACAATTTATATATCCATGTTTAATTGCAGTGGTAGTACGATATGATCATATGAGTTTATTCATCCATAGATAATGTCTGTCACATCCCACCTTAATCTTCCAGAAATTCTTTAAATGGGTTGTTTCCTAAATTTGAAAACAATAATGATTTGAAATAGCAATGTTTCAGTTATTTCGACTTCATTGTTCCATTTGCAAGATAACACGACACAAGTGTTGAATAGGCTATGTTGGTTTAGTTAACAGAATGAACCATCATCAGTAGTGTGAATATAATAGAGGGCCAAGTGACACATGGACTCAATCTATTTTGAATTATGGTCCAAGGTGACTTTGGGTTAGAACTTTGTTAGCATTTAAGAATGTTATGTGTGTCAATCACACAATCTTGAAAATAAGAGATAGTTTGTTATTTGTCAATGAAAATAATTTATTTGGTGATTTATAAAATTCATTGTTTAAACTTTATTCTTGCATAACTTTTACTTCTTTTTACTCTTTATGGAAAATATTACGTTTATGTTGTTTATATGTCTGCAAAGCTATTTTCAGATGAATAATTAGATCATGTCTCAAGACGAAAGTTGCATACTCTTTCGTTGCACGCCCCTGCATTCCTCCAATCACATTTTATTATTTTATTTTGTGTCTATTTTAGTTTGACTTGATGTGACTGACTCCATAACTTTAAACTTTTGTTTTTACCAATTTATTGAAGAAATAAAAAGACATATTTAAGTGAATTTATTATGTTTGTTTCAATTAGATGATTTGATGAGAAAAATATATGGGTTCATATTTATCAAGTCACCTATAAAATAGAGAATATTTAAATATAAAGTCAATATAAATGTTAAAATTATTCTATTACCACTAAAAATTACTCATAATAAATTTAGTAAACATATATATTGATTATAGAAATATATATAATTGATTATGAAATTCTATATAATCGGTTATGTGTGAAATTACATGTCTTTAATTTTAATAAAATCATTTCTTTTTAATAAGTATTTTATTGATCCAATTTAAAAATAATATTATTAAAAATATATTTGTATAATATTATTATTTTATATGTATAATATTATTAAATTTTTTTATTAATAATTAGATGAAATATGTGAAATCAATATTTTAATTATATGAAATTTTAAAATATATAATAAATTGATCATTTTTAATTAATAAAGTTTGTAAGAGGATTGAGATTAATAACTAATCCTTATATAGACAATTAATTTGTAATTTTACACATTTTTTTATTTTTTAATTAATATATAATTCTCATTTTTCAATTATTTATTATTTTTAGTTATTTATATCTATTTATATTTATATTTATATTTAATTTTTTTATTTTTAATATTAAAATATTATATATATATATATATATATATATATATATATATATATATATCACTACTTGCTAACTAATTATATGTTAATTTAGTTATAAATTATAATTTTTCAATGTAATTTTAGAAAAAAATATTCTTATCATTAAAATATATAATTTTAATTAATTAATTAATTATATTTTAATGATCATGAATATATAACTAATAGATTATATTAAAGAGTAATATTATTATATTAAAAATAATATTATATTTATTATATATAAATTAATATCGAAACAAAAATATTTTTTTTATATTTTTTATTTTTAATAAAATTTAAAATATATTTAAATAAAATTTTAATTTATTTAAATATATTAATATTATAATGTACATTATTACTAAATTTTAATTTTTATAATAATTTAATTTTAATATATAATTTTTTTATTATGATATTTTTTATTATATTTTATTTTTTAATTAATAAAATGATACATGATTTATAGTTAATTATCTAAGTAATTTAAAATTTATTTTCAAGTAATTTTCTGAATAACATTTTTTTAAAATTTTAAAAATACTTTTAAATTTTATTATAAAAAATTAAAATTTAAATATTTTTAAAATATCACAAATTCTTTTTATTATTTAAATATATTTTAATTTTTATCCATAATATAAATTAATTAATTTATACTAAAGTATATTATTTTTAAGTTATACTTATTTTATCCTGTATTGTATTCATTACATATTTTAAATTATTTTTTTAATTTTTTTATTCAATCACATTAATTGTATCTTTTATTATCTTTCTATTCATTTCTCTCCATTTTCTATTATTTATTCCTTAATCAAAACAATCTTATTTTCCATTTTCTTTCTCCTTTCTTCCTCTTTCTCAAATTCACTTTCTAATCCAAACACAAGTTAAGGAAATAGTTGGACTAGAGGATGAACTTGAGGAAGTGGAAATGAGTGGATTTGAAAGAAAAGAGAGGTAAAATTGAGATTGTTTAAATTAAGAAAAGTTAGATGAGAAGAAAATTGTGAGTATTTTGATTGATATAAATGATAAAAAGAATATTTTAATAAAAAATAAAAATAACTAAGTTATAATTAAATAAAAATTATTATTATTATAATTTAAAATATTATAATTATTTTATTTTTTAATTATTAATATGATTATTATTATTATTTTAATGATAATTATTATTAATAATAATATTATAAATATAATTATAATTAAAAATAATATAATTATTTAAATTATTTTTATAATAATCATTATTATTAAAAATAATAATAATAATTATTGTTATTATTTATATATCAGATATAACATAATTTCTTGCATTGAAAAAATAATTTTCGTTGGAAATCTTCTCTCTCCTCCACTTTACTCGAATCCAAACAGACTCTAAATAGAAACCTTTTATTTTCAAGATTAGTCATTTTAGCATCTTCTTCTTTGTTATGTTAAATATTTTATGTTTTCTTTGGAATTGTTGTTGATGATTACGTGTAATTTTTTTAATTCTAAGATTAAGGTTTTTTTGATGATTAATTTGAATTTATTTTTCTACTTGAGTTGTATTTTTTTTCATCTTTTATTACTTTTATTTACGCTAGAAAACATTCAATATCATCTTATATTTTCACAAGGACTAAGAGATGAACTTAATTTTTGAACTTATAAGAAAATAACTAATTTTAAATCCCGAGTAAATTTAATCAATGAATGACTCAATAAATTAATGAATATAATTGGATATAATCACCATGGTACTAGATAGAAATTTAATTAAAGTATTTTAAAGAAATATCACGAGATTAATTCACCTTCAAAAAATATATCTTTGGTGCTAAACCTAATTTTATAAAATTTTTATTATCAAATTTAACTTAAATTGTATTATTGTTTTTATTATTGATTTTTTTTCATTTAATTTCATTTCATTAATTTGATCCTTTTATTCCTACCAAAGTTTAATAATTATAGAGTCAAACGTAGAGTTCTGGTAGATTCCATATTAAGCTATTGTACATTTACGATTTTCACATACAAGCGAGAAGGAAAGTGAAAATCAACCGCATTAAAGTGTTTTACATAGTAAATTTTACAATAGATTAATGAGCCAATGGGGTATATTACGACAGCCATTGAAACATGAATAAATCCATCATTTCTATAAAAAAAATCTCAGCCGAAAAACGATCATCAGAAAATCGATGACATGTCTGAAAACTTTTTTAATTCAATCATAAGGATTTCTGAATTTTTTTAATAATTCTGGTATTTCATATCCAAGCATGTCATCAACGGCTTGAATCATTTTGGGCTTTAGTTTCTCAAATTTGTCAATGCTATAGCAACTCAAAGTCTCTCTGAAGTGTTCTACATTGGGAAAATCACCAGCTGGTAGATGAAACTCCCTTTGAATCTGTTTAGCAAGATCATATATGATAAGAATTAATAAATTAAAGGAAACAAGGGAGAAGAAATAAAAGGAGAGACCTTTCTAAATTCGTCTTCAAGATTCTCTATAAGCCTTTGTTGAGCCTTAGCTTTGCCCATCATTACAGGCATCTCATTCCTAAGATGACTAATTATATACGCATGAATTTTAGCAGATCTTGCACGTTTCACAAAATCATTGATCTGCACAATTCCAACGATATCAGAATTTAGAACCAGAAAATTTTTTTACAAACAAACAAGTATTTGAAGGATCATTAGATACTGTAGGAGGATAAAGCACTAATCATAAATATAAGCTTGCAAAGATCTGCCATATGCACACCCATTAGCATTACCAGGTCAAACAATATTTTGGAAATAGGACCATACCCGACTGTCGCATGCCTTTCTTGGAATATCTACCAAGTCTGCAAGGAGATCATTCTGTTCCTTTTCAAAGAGATCATGTCCTAATGGGCCAACAAAGACTCCATTCATAGGCTTATCATTAAATGAGCTGCAAAAGAAAAGTAAAATAAACTTACAGCTGAAGATTGTCAGATTAATTAGAGGAATCAATAAAGCAATGTGAACATCAACAAATGCTATGCATTTAAATTTCAACTACAAAACGTTAAAAAGACAAAAAAGAAAAATAATCAATTGGTCACCAAAACTGAGATCGAATAAAAATCTTAAGATGTTCAACTGCAACAAAACAGTACAATCTTAAGCGAATGGTTAAATACTTGAATTGAGCCATTGTATTTAAAAGATGGGTAACCTACCCAATATATACACGCATAACTTCGGGAGTATTCAAAACTTTCCCCAGAGACCACATCAATGCTCCATAAACTCTCATGAGCTACGTTATTAAAATATGAGGGTATGAAAATAAGTCAAAAGTAAATGACAAATTTATTTATATCAGATTAAATTAAGTTGCTGGTAGTGCATTACTTGTTGAGTATCAATTTGGTCTGCTTTATTCAAAACCACACGTATCTTGTCATCATGACCACGTAGCGACTCAATTACACGTTTAAATTCATCACTGATGTCAAGTTTATGAGGATCAAATAGTAGAAGTATCAGATCACACTTTGCAGCAAACCAAGATATAACGCCAGTGAAGTCATAACTTCGTTGAGTCCTCTGCTTTTCTCCAGAGAGGACACCAGGAGTGTCCACAAATGTTATTTCATCTAGAAGCTGAAAGAAAAAAATTCTTTAAGTTCAAGGACAATAAATGACTCAAGTTATCAATGGAGCAAAAATGGACTTGTAAGTATATATAGAAAACTAACTGGATGTGGCATTTGAGAACATTGGAACTTTGACAAAAATGAACCACCAAAAGATGTCAGGCCACTAAAAGGCATATCGGCATCAACGGCTATTGTATTTCCAGGAATACTCCTTTCATCATGACCAGACTACACGTAAAAAACATATTCAGCTTTGAACCTCCATGGGCACAAGCAAACCACAAACGAAGACAACAAGGGAACAAATTAAAAATTTTCAAAGTCAATGCTAGAAAAGAAGACTATGATACCATGACAACAACAAATCTGTCAGTTGTAGGCTCTGGTCCAATGTGTGCGCCTGTGCGTAGAATTAAAAGGTGTCAGGATCAATAGGGTAATTTATATCCCTTGATCATTTATTTTTTGCACGAAGGATTTCAAATAATGCAGCTGCTAGATAACCAACAACTTAACCAACCTGGATAATCACATCTTAGCAAATGTTTTATGAAAGTTGTTTTCCCTGTGGAATATTGACCAAGAAGCATGACCATTGGTTTAGCATCAAAATCACTGTCAGTCTGAAAGACAAACCACAGACATTCTTAAGCTGAATATTATCAATATGAAAACATGTGTACTTCACAAAATTTGGCATATTTTACTACATATTGGGTGTTTGTCACTTACCAATAATGGAGATACAAAATCATTGAATTGATAAGTGACCTCCAAAGGCTTTAGCTTCTCCACATACAATCGCTTCAAGCCATCAATTATTGATGTAACTGCACTGAGAGGTAACTAAAATAGACCAAACTTTAATAATCAGAGTATACCTGGCAACCAACTAAAATAACACAATGGCCTATGTAATAGAGCTTGAAACGAGTTCACAAATGCATATTCTTGATAAGTTTAACTTGGTAATGGAATTGATCCAATATTGCCTTGTATGCATCGATTGATTTATCATGGCAATGCATATATGCAAGAAGAATCGCTATCAACTCTGAATGCTTCTATATCTTCAAATAATCCAACCATTCACTAATTTAGAGGTTTCTTTTAATTTTTGCACCATAAAATTAATTATCATTAATTCATACAATCTTCACATGAATAAACTAAATTAAGGCATTTTACATATTGTTTGTTCACCTGTAAAACCAAATTGACTTTTCATTTTCTACATTTTTTTAGAAGCAAACTAATTCTTGTCAAAATGGGAGTTGATTTGGGGAACTCACTTTCTTCACAGGTTTTGGAGGAGCCCATGAGTTGAGTGACGATGACCGAGGCTGAGAAGTCCCTTCACATTATCAGTAAGATAATACAATCAATATTAATTAGACAGTACAATGTAATGAATGTTGAAAAAAAATTACTTGTCTAACCAAATACATCAGGTTGGGAATGTATTGCCAAACTCTTTGTTTTCTGAAAAAAAAAAAGGAAAGAAGAAACATTAAGAAAAATAATCAACAGTATTAATATGATTTAATTGCTAAAGACAAGGTGAAATAAAAAAAACTTGCTTACTGCTATTAAAGCATCAAGGCCTTCCATTACTGGAGATTTAATATTTTCCTTGTCAACTGAAATAAAAAGAAATGGAATAATTATATGCATTGAATAGAATGAACACTGAATAATGCAAAGTATGAAAATAACAGACAACAAATTTAGACAGAAGGGAAACTTGTCTCTTTGAATCCGATACATAACATATATTCCTATTGCATCAATAATGTGAACCATTACTCAAATTGTGATCAACACCCTCCCTCTTTAAGTGGCGCAAAAAGTTTGGCAGGTTATCCATTTCTTTAAGTACCACCAAGGTCTGTTGGCTCTGTCGGTATAGCATAAAATTTGGATTTGTAGGACTTGAGAAATGAAACCTCAATGAAGTGAAAGAACTATCGTTCACACAGACATACATATATCAGTTAATTCCTCCTTATAGTCACACAATGACGGACTAGAATCACGCCAAGTGATTCACAGCCCACATATAAAAGAGGCCATGAAATGAGATCTCACTTAAGCATTCCTACTATCACATATTGAACACGTCGCTCCACAAGAAAGTGGGTAAGCATCTGATAAGGTAAAGATCAATACAAACAGATAACCAGGATGAAGGACCTAACTTGAGTGAACTTACTTTTCGTTTTAAGGATATCTGAGTTGATCTCGTATCCTGCTTGTGCCAGCGCAACGAGCTGTTTAACACAACAAACATTCAATTTTAAACTACGATACTGCTATCAGATTATCCATATTAAACCCCAAGAGTCAGGATTTTGAAAACCCCGAACCTGCATTGCGATAACAAACTCTTGAAAACCTAGAAATCCTTGTCGCTTAACATCGGCGATAGCCCAAACCTACGGAAAGCAATTAAGCAAGTATAGATTAAATTTAAGTAAAATTGGAAATACAATTAAGCCAACTCAACTTATGAAGAGTGACATAAAAATTATTCCCGGTAAATTAATCCGAGAATGACATAAAAACTGATGACCAATTGTACGTGCTTAAGTTGAGAGCGAGACAAGTTGGAGAGAGCAAAGAACTTGGTTGCATCATTTCCAGAGATACGGCCATCTCCGTCTACGATCAGATAAGAAAAAAAGAAGATAAAAGAATCAGTTGTATCGGAATGCGAATGGAATTGAAGAATGAAAGGAAGTGAAGCAGTAAAACCTGAATCGGCTAAGTTGAACCATTCTTGGTACGCCTTCAATTGGTCTTTGGAACACGAATCGATCCAATCGGATATGGTTTTCATCTTCAAAATTGAAGCGTTTGATTGGAATAATCCCCGGAAGCAAGTCACCCTCGATCTCGAGGGTTTGCTTACAGTTCAGTTGAAAGTTCCTTTCCTTGCCTTTCAATTTTTGGAATTATTACACATACAAGTGGAGTTTTACTATTGGTGCGTCGGTCTTCGAGTCCGTTTTCATTACAACATGAGAATCTTGATTCTGTTTAAAGATCGTGTGTTTAATTAGGTTGATTCCGATGGGTCCCTAATTTTACGCGACACATCAAATCCACGAGGATACCCTGGATTTACGGATACACTTATTTTCTCACCATCTTGAACATTTGAATTGCTGCGCCGCGCCACTATCCGAGGCTTCGCTTCTGGTCCATTATTTAACAAAACATTAGCTGATACGGATGTTTACGATTGATTTTGAGGGTGAAATAAGATATTATTAATAAATAATAAAAATATATGAAAAGGTAAAAAAATATATAAAATGTTAGAGAAGTCAAATATATAAATATATAAATAAGTATATTTAATGATTTTGAGGATCAAAATTATAAATATCTGGAAAATTATGGTCCCTTCGGCTTACAAGAAAATCAACGTACATGCTACTTCATTGATAGCATAATGGAAGTATTGACAATTTTGAACCTTATTTTCCCAAAATACGTTGGATATTTAAAAGGGGTTGAGATCCATCTCTTAAATATGTGCCAACTTATTCCTACCATTTTTATTATAAAATTTTGTTGAGAGAAAATTTCTACTTTGATACTTATTCCAAGAAATTAGCATCTTAACTATTAAATTATATAAATGTAAATATTTGAGAAAATTAAAAACTTATGTCAATATATATCATAATTTCGCACACCAAATTATATCGAAAATTGATATTGATGTATCAATAAAAAATTATATTTATAATAAAAATATTAAATGATATATTTATAAAACAATTTTCTCACTCCAAAATTGTAAAGGGTTACATACATAAATTTAATAAATATCCCACGTTCATTAACTGTAGGGTGTAAAGCAAAATCAACGGCAAAAGCTAGTTTTCTTGGTTCTTGAACATAGATTACAAAAGTCTAATGCACGAAAGAAGAATGAAATTGTGTCGTTTAAAGGTTGAGAGCACCCGTGCTCAGAGCATACGACAATCCGGCTTCATTTGCTTTCACTCGAAAACAAACAACAGAAGCACTGCATAAAAGTCACGATAAAAACTTGTGAATTTTTCCAGTCCTTGACATACAACAATAAGAAATGTAAAGTAGTTACCAGAATTTACAGTTTAAAATGAATCTTAAACGGAAACTTTTTCAAAGCACATGTATGGAGTAACGTTACCTTAGATAATATGGAGGAAGGTCTGCCACATTGATTGATGTCAGAACGGTTGTCTAGTGATGGTGTCTTATTAGGCATGCGACCAGATGCAATTTGCTTTTCTTTTCTTATTTCGCTGAATATAGCAGTATATCCTTCTCCTGATTTCGAGTCTGTGACATTCCAAGCACCGAATTCTGGTACTAGTGTCGCTTCGTGGTTCTGTCTCGCACAACCCATAACATGATTAGTAAAATTCAATGTGATCATCACCCTTTTAGGTTTAAATATCAGTAGCCATTAATGTTATTGACAGAGATTTTAAAAGAATGAGAAACTTAATACCACATGGTCATTAAGGGAATCGCTTCCACCTCTTCCTTTAATATGATTTGATGAAGAGAAGCTACCAATGAAACTGCCTCTGAAATCTGACATCACTCTCTCAATCACAGAGTAATCTGAATTGCTTTTTTCACTACCTGTGACTGACTCTGCCGCGCAGCTACCCTTACTCATGTGGTGGGAGTGGCGTTTAGTATTGCTTCTCCCCTCATCGTGGCTTATTTGCTCTAGAGAACTTGTACTATAGGAGTGCATAAGAGAAGAAGCATTTACTGTTTCATCACTTTTTCCAACTCCTCCTTGGTATATATTCAAGGTCTCTGGATTTTCTTCTGGGTCGTTCGGATTTATGAGGGCCTTTTTGTTGCGTGCATTGTCAAAATATACTGTGTATGGGATGTTGTCAGTGTCCCAATTGCCAAACTTTGGGACATGAGAATGCTGTTATTTGAACACAATTTGTGAGAGAGTGAATTTGATTTTATAACAAATGAATGAATTTGAGAGAGGACCAGGGAATTTCGTGAGTTGTTAAAAAATTAACTAGTTTTTTAATAACAAATATTTCCTTAAGTTCATTAAAAACCACGTACAAGTGTATTCACAGGACTTTCTGGAAGTAAATTTTCATTTGTGCTCTTTTATTAACCAAAACTTTGAGGGCGCTATTCTCCTCAAAAATAATTAAGTCTTACTGGAAGACCAAATATTATAAATCATAAAAAACTATAGGCATTGCGAGAGAAAAACTTTATGAGAAGGGATAACGGAGAAGATGAAGAACTAGTTTATCATTTTTTTTAATACCTATTAATAAGATTTTAGAGCAGAGAATATACATATAGTAAGAACACTTACCGTCATAATATCAAGAGTTGAGACAGAAGTAGTGGCAGAGCAATGATTATAACGAGTAAGATGCACAAAAATCAAACGAGAAATAGGAGGAGATGACCAATAAAATTCGATGGTTACAAAGCATTTTGGCTTTTTCATTTGTATAACTTCTTTTACTATATGTTGAACACTAAAAACAAAAATGGTCTCACTTATTTCTAATCTATAATTAATTAGTTTAATGGTATTTTTTTATCTTTTATTATATTTTATTCACTGAGTGGATATTGTTCTTAAAATGTTAATCTTTCGTATTTACATTTTCAAATATAAAAGGGACTAGGAGCGGAAAATAATATGGGTAGATTTACACCATTGTATCTTCTTGACTGAATCAAACATAGTGCATCAATGTCATGCGTGTTATTCTACATAAATAAAACATTTATTTTAAAACAATGTTGATAGATATTTAGTTTTGTTTGGGTATATCAATTTACTATTTAAGCGGAAAAGAGGGCGAAAAAATGTAAAATAGAAAGAGTTTGGATAGAAAGTGGGGTAAGATTTCAAACTCGCCTACTCCTTTTTAAATGCGTGAAAATGGTTGAAAGCTAATTGGAGCTTTTATTTTGTCCAAATTACCTCCTACATTATAATATTTTATTATATTTAAGTGATTATTTTTATAATATTTATTGATTTTGATAAAATAGATAATCGATTATGAGTTATTATGGAATTGATTGTGTTTAGATAATTAATCGATGATGTTAGATCCCTTTATTACTAGCTTTTGTAGAGAAAAAAATATTTAAAGAAAATGAAAATAAAGTTACATTAATCATGAATTGAATAAATGACAGAAGTAAATAATAATTGAATGGTTGTGTTAATGGTAAAATTAATAATATAATGAATTTACAAATGGGAATAATTGTTAAATGGTATATTGTCTAAAAATAAAATTAAATATTTTATTATAAGTTTCACCGTTGAGTTGTTTAAAATATGGTCAAAGTTGTTTATTCAAACAATTTTCTTTCAATTTAAAATAACTTTTTCTACTTTTAAGTAAATACGTGAAATCCACAATAAAATATTTATTTTTATTCTTAAACAACTTCCATTAGATATGCTCTAAATTGGTAATTAAGATGTCCAAAAGTTATGTATCAATATTAATTAAAGAGATTTGTAATAAAAGGTAAATTTAACCTAACTTGTTGGATTGAAATTACATGTAACTAATCATTAGAAAGTTTTCAAATGAATAAAGATCATGAAAAAAGATTAAAAAATATATTGAGAGATAAAATGACATATGTCTTATTAATCTAATATCAAAATTTGAAGAGTAAAAGACGTCCAAATTCGTGATACAAATATAAGATATTAAAAGAAAACAATGTAATTAAAAGATATGTGAAGACAGTTATTATCTCATTATAATATATACACACTAATAAGTATATGGCGACAATATGAGTGATAAAATGAAGGACAATTACAATAAAGTAATCGTTTGTAAATTTTTATTTTAGTTTATTTTATTTGATTGTATTTCATTTTAATTTATTTAGGTAGTTTTATTTTAATAGTTTGTAAAAAGAAATTTATATTTTGAAAAATGCTACGAAGAGGGAATACATTTTTTTTAATGAAGTTTTTTATAATTTTAATCACTATTTTGTTAATTTTTTTATCAATTTCTATTTTATCTTTATAATATGTTAGATTTATTTTTCTATTATTTATTTTCTTTGCATATTTTTTTAGCTATTCATTGTTCTTTATAATTATAGTAATTTACTTTAAATATTTTAAATATATGTGTAACTAATCTTTAATTGAGATATTTATAATTATAGTAATTTATTTTAAATATTTCAAATATATGTGTGACTAATCTTTAACTGAGATATATTATGTTTTAAATATTAAGTAATTGATATACAACGATAATTAAATGTTTCATTACTTAATTAAATATAAGTTTAATTAATAAAACAACAAATCATATATATTAAAAATAGGTTGCATAATCATTTATATAATTTGTTTAAGTTATTAAAATGAAAATTGATATGTTTAATAATTTTAAATTTTATAAAACTATATAAAATATAATTACCCTGTATTTTTTTTAAATAAGTTTTTACAATTTTGATATTACTTATAAATTATTATAAAAGTAAAATAAAGTTTAAATATGTTTATAATTTATATATAAATTCATTTTATTTGTATAAATGTATATTTTTTTAAAATAATTATTTCATATTAAATTATATTTAATTTTTATTAATATTTATAATAAAAAATTTCAATCATTCAATATTTTATTTTATTATTTTATTTTTTCTAATAATCTTATCTTTTATCGTCTTTTTATTCACTCACTTATCCACTTATCGTTCTCTTCATATAATCATTTCACTTTACACGTCATTCTTTCTTTTTATTATCTCAAATCATTTCTCCAATCAAAACATTCTTTCTTTTTATCATCTCGAATCATTTCTCCAATCAAAACACAAGGTTAATAATTTCAAATTTCAATTCACATGAAAACAAAAAGGAAGACCTTAAAAATAATATTTTAATTTTAATTTTAATTATGAGATAAAAAAAACAAAAAGTAATGCCTAGGTTTAAGTAAGAAAGTAAAATAAAAATAATAAATAGACTAAGGTTCTAATAAGATGAAAAGTAAGTAATATAAAAAAATAAATATTTCTCTTTTTCCGTATCGAGTAAAGCTTAAGAAACGTGTTACTTCTCACTTTAATGTCTACATTTACTTTACATTCATATATATATATATATATATATATATATATATATATATATATATATATATATATATATATATATTATAAAATTATTTATACTTAAATAAATGTTATTATTTTTATATTAATGATTTTAATATATATATATTATTTTAATAAAATATCATAAAATTAAAATATTATAAAATTAAATATATATTTTTATTTTTTTTAATATAACATTGTTTTATTTATTCATATTCAAATAGTTTTTCTTTAAATATAATTTTATAATAACACGTTTTTTATAACTATATATCAAAGTATATATTTTTAAGAAAATAAATATTGATTTAAAAAGTATTTTATTTTATTAATTAAAAAAAATTATTAATAATTATATAGATAATTTTATAATTAAATAAATATTAATTTTTAATTTAATTATTTATTAGTTTTTAATATAAATATATTTTATGTCATTTTTTAAAAATAAACAAAAATATTTTTATTATATTTCATTTTTCTTTCTTTTTCTTTTTCATTTCTTTCAACCCACTTTCTTTTCTTACAATTTTTCTTCTTCTATCGATTTTATTTTTTGTAAGGGTAATACTTATACTATTTTTTTTACTATATTTTAAATTATATAGACAAATTATAAGTATATGTTGTTGCATGTAACATCAATTGTCCTGTGACGAAGGTCAGGTGGGCCGAGTCAAAATTGAATCGTGGCACTTGGGCTGTTAAAGTAAAAAGAGTTGTGCTCTGACTAAAGGCTATAGTTTTTGGCCTAGTGGTAAGCGCTCGATCCTAACAAGTGGTATCAGAGCTTGGTTAGATAAGATATTTCTAAACGATCTGTCAAGATATCTATGCAGAATCAGGTTTACAGGGAAGGAGCCTCAATAAACAGACCACCTATCAATTTTGGAAGGCAAGAATGAAAATATTTTTACAAACACTAGATTACGGTATTTAGGATATGCTGTACTCAATGATCCTTACATTCCAATGAGAACAACGGAGTCTGGAGTTGTTCCAAATACTTTTGATCAATGGACGTCGGATGAAAACAAGTGTGCCCAATATGATGTAAGAGCCCGAAATGCTATTGTTTCTGCCTTAACTCGTAATGAATTTTTCAGGGTCTCACGATGCAAGACGGCAAAAGAAATATGGGATACTCTTGAAGTAACACATGAAGGAACAAATGAAGTAAAGCAAGCACGTAAAAACACACTCATCTAGGAGTATGAATTATTTCAAATGCAGCAAAATGAAAGCATCACGAATTTCCAAACACGCTTCACACATATAGTAAATCACTTGAAAGCATTAGGAAAGAGTTTTGACAATGAGAAGTTGAACACAAAGATCTTGAAATCCTTAGACAGGAATTGGCAACCAAAGGTCACTGCTATTACAGAATCAAAGGATCTCACAAAAATGAATATTGTTACTCTATTTGGAAAGCTGCAAGAACATGAGATAGAGCTACAAAGGTTAAAGAACAGTGAACAAAATCAAACCAAGACGATAGCTCTAAAAGTAGAAAAATCTTCACAAGACGAAAGCGAAAATGAAGGTAAGTTTTCGGATTCTGATATGTCTCTTTTTGTTAAACAATTTTCTCGCTTTATGAAAAACAGGAAAAAAAGACAACAAAGAAAGGAGAAAACAAATAAATTTCATTGCTATGAATGTGGAAAACCTGGTCATATCAAATCAGACTGTCCGAAACTTAAGAAAGAGAAGAAAGATTTGAAAGAGAAGAAGAAAGAGAAGAACGATACCTATAAGAGCAAACGCAAAACTTATATTCCTTGGGAGGATAATGATTCTTCCACAACACAAGAGAGTTCTTCCGAAAGCAGTGATGGAGAAGAAGAAGCAAATCTTTGCTTGATGACAAAAAGTGATGATGAAGCCTCGTCACAGGTAAGTAGTACAAATTCCTTAAATGAATATTATGAGTTATTTAAAGAATATCAAGATATGTATGAAGGTTTTGCCAAGTTATCTAAGAAATACAATGCACTTAGGCAAAAGTTTAATGCATTAGAAAATACTGTTGGTATTCTTGAAAAAGAAAATGAGTGCTTAAAGAAAGATGTTGAAAAATCTAAAACTTTGTCTAAAAATAAAGAAGTTGTTAAACCTTGTGAAAATTGTAATATTTTGGAAAATGAGATTTTCAAGTTAGAGAAAATAATAAGCAATTTTTCAAAATCTTCTAAAAATCTTGATTCGATATTAGGTTATCAAAGAGGAAATTCTAGCAAAGCTGGACTTGGTTACAAACCCAAAGAAAGTCTAGAACCTCATAAAACTATTTTTGTGAAAGAGTCAAGGAAAACAGGTGTGAAACCAGTTTCAAAAACTCTAAGAAACGCATTTAGACCTTTTCAAAGAAAACCAACATGCTTTTATTGCATAAAATTAGGTCATACATCAAATAGATATTACATAAAACATTTTGGCATATCTAATGGCAAATATGAATGGGTGCCTAAAGGAACAAAACATTTATACATGTCTAGATGATAATTTGAGCATCTAATTGATTATCAGAATCAGAATTTTTTTTCTTGTTGTCATAATCAATTATGTTGACCAACTTTGAAATTTGAAAGTTTGAATTTTGAAAATTTGAATTTATGAAAATTTGAAATATTGTAATTTGAGATTCTTGAAATTTGAAATTTTGCAGTTTGAGATTTTTTAAAAAATTTGCAAGTATGAGATATTTGAAATTTGAAATTTTGCAATTTGAGATTTTTGAAATTTGAAATTTTGCAGTTTGAGATTTTTTTGCAATATAAGATTTTTGAAATTTGAAAATTTGTAATTTGAGATTTTTGAAATTTGAAATTTTGTAGTGTGAGATTTTGAAATTTGAAATTTTTGCACTTTGAGATTTTTGAAATTGAATTTGAATTGGAATTTGAAATTTGGGATTAGAAATTTGAATTTGATATTTGGAATTGGTTGGAATTTGAATTTGAAATTTGTTGCAATTTGAATTTGAAATTTGAAATCTAGAATATGAGTGCATTTGAATTTGAAAGCTGCCTAAATAAAAAGACTACAATGGAGGGAAACTACTCGTATTTAATTCCATTATCTCTATAATCATTTTATTCCCCTATCTTTCTCTCTCTTCATTTGTCTTGGGTATCCTAGATATTGTTTCCTTAATATGATGTTCTTGCCTATGACACTTTTTAGTGCATTATCTTCTCTATCTTGATTTATATACTAATAGGTACAAATTTGTTCTCAGCTTCTATTGCAATATTTTTCATAATTATCAATGAAACAGAAAGATATTTTGATGATATTAGTCCGTGTGAAACAGGGGAACTTTTTTCTTTTATAATATTTTTCATAATTATCAATGAAATATGAAAATATTTTGATGATATTAATCATGTCGAAACATGGGAAAATTTTTTCTTATAATATTTTTTTATCAAACAGGGAGATATTTTGATGATATTAATCTGTGTGAAACAGGGGAAAATTTTTCTTATAATATTTTTTATGATTATCAATGAAACAGGGGGAGATTTTTTGATGAATTAAAATCTGTGTGAAATTCTTTCCTATCTAAATTAAACAAGGGGAGTTAAGAGAAGTATTTGCTCATATGAGTTAGGGGAGTCTTGTTATTCCAGGCTGAGATTAAGAGACTCTGACACTTGATACAAATCTGTGCTAATCTTGAGCTGACTATATAGAGTCAAGCATTTTAATTCATTTCAGGTGTTTCCTTGATCATCATCAAAAAGGGGGAGATTGAAAGCAATGAGGGGGAGATTCATGGAAATGTTCCTGCATTCCCAAGAGATGATTTTGATGATGATTCATGTTAACTACATTCAAGTCAACACCATTCAAGATGAATTTAAGGACAAACTGAATTTATAACGTAGGTGATAAAGATGATGATTCAAGCAAGCCCAAGATGATTCTTGAAGACTAGATAGAGTCTTAGAATACTGGATATGGAGGTACAAGTTGATGAAATAATATTATGCATAAGCCTCCAAAGCACAAGTGTGATAAAATTCATAACATGATATTTTTCACTGTCATAATTAATTATGATGCACCAAAAATGGAAAAATGATTTTCTCTATCATAATTAATTATACTGGTAATATAATCAATTATGACAATTCAAATTTGAAAAATATATCCATTTTAAAGAATAAATGTTTTTGAATACATCCCGATTTTCTCTATGATATTATTAATGTCCAACGACCATTTTCTGATGTTATTTTTCTATTTAATTAAGTTTTGATGAAAAATAAAAAACACACAATTACGTAATTCGAAAATACAATTTACATTCAATCAGCTTTGAGAAAAAATTCGAACAAGGCAACAAATATATTTTACACATTTTGAGAAAACCCTCTTCTCTACTGCCTTCTGTGTTTTCATTGTTAATCACATTTGTTCTTGGAGATTGACATTCTACAGGCTTCTACAATTTGTTGTCTCCATTACCAGGTGTGTCTATTCTTATTTTTATTACCTTCATCCTTTTTGCATTGGTGGAAAATGAAGTGTTTTTCATTCCTAGTGTGATTCTAGGGAGGGGTTCATCCTTAGTGGGATTCTAAGGAGATTTTTTTCATTCTTTGATTTGTTCAGAGGAGGTGTTCATCCCTAGTGGGGTTCTAGGGAGGTTTTCATCCTTAGTGGATTTCTAAGGAGGTGATTGTCTTTTTAATTAGTTTACTTTTTACTGGTTCTTCTGCTGAGTTGATTTTAATTTGTAAACTGAATTTGAAAGATAGTGAATGGGGAGTCACTCTTATGTTAAGAGTTGACTGAGAACTGGATGTAGGGTTGGCTATACCCGAACCAGTATAAATCTCTGTGTGCTCTTCTCTTTCCCTTATCTCTTTCTCTTTTCCTAATTATATTATTGCTTCCGCTTTAACAAATTATTGACTCACAAATAAATTTTTAATTTGACATCTATTTTAATTTGTGCATCTATTCATCCCCCTCTAGATGTCATTTGTCTAACAATTGATATCAGAGCGAAGGTCACGAGTTCGATTCCTAGTGGGCAATTGTTGAGGAGGAGATTGTTACGGGTTGCACAATTGTCCCGTGGCGGAGGCTGGGTGGGCCAAGTCACAATCTAATAGTGGGATACCTTGTAGGACAATTGCTGAGGGGGAGATTGTTGCAGGTAGCATCAATTGTCCTGTGACGAAGGTCAGGTGGGTCGAGTCACAATTGAATCGTGACGCTTGGGGTCTTAAAGTAAAAAGAGTTGCGCTCTAACTAAAGACTATAACTTTTGACCTAGTGGTAAGCACTCGATCCTAACATATGTAAGAGATATGCAACTGCTTAAACGGATATTTTATTTTCGTAATGCTTTCAATATATTTTTTTATTTATTTCTGAATTGAATATCAATAATTTTTTAAAATAATTTATGAATAATTTTAATAATCCAATAACTTTTTTTCATCTTTATTTCTTGGCGTCAAAATGGATCAAATTTTGAATTTTCTAATTAAAACAATCTAAACATGTTTTTACGAGATTTCAATGCTCTTCACATAACTCATGTGTCATTGTTCTGTCTTTCTTCCAGCACCATACAGATACAGTTGCTTTATAGTATCTTTTTCTACTTTTGCTAGGTACGCACTAATATACGTATTTTACATCAATCAGCCAACACAGCATTCAACCAAGACATACAGGTGTGGATTCCAATCCATCCACAACTCTGCAAGGCAAATAAAGTATCTCTATGGGCCATATTCAAATTGCAACGAAAAATAGTAAAAATGTAAAAAATACAAAATACAAAAGAAAGGGTTTGATTGGGATCCGATTTCGGCATATTCTTTCAGTACACGTCTCCGTCTGCAGTCATCACGCACCAGACTTGAAAGCATCTTATCAGAGATCCTCTTACCTTTTTCCTTTTTCCTTCTTTCCTCTGTCTCTCTATTTTATATTCTACATTATTACTCACCACCTTGGCTTCAAATATTTTTATTTATAATTTATAATAGTATGAGAGACAGATCCTGAAAACTGGAGATCCAGTGAATCAATCAATCGCCTCCTTCACTGTTAACGATTTTGGCGCCAAAATCATGAAGCTCGACAACTCCAACGGCCAGACGCCCCTCACCGCTGACGTTTCGATGCTGCAGGAAGCCGATGCCGACGCCGAAGAGATATTCGTGCCGCCGCTCAACTTCGCCATGGTCGACAACGGCATTTTCCGGTCTGGCTTTCCCGATTCTGCTAACTTCGGATTCCTGAAATCGCTCCGTCTCCGTTCCGTAATGTCAGTTTCATTTTTCTCTTCCTTCTTCTATGTCTCGTCGTCGATTTCTGCTTTCTGAATTTCAGGGTATTTCAGTTGGATCCTTATGTATTTTGGTGCAGGTGTTTGTGTCCCGAACCGTATCCAGAAACGACGTTGGAATTTTTGAAGGACAACGGAATAAGGCTTTATCAGTTCGGGATCGATGGCTGTAAGGTTTGTATTCCTTTTGTTATCGTCGTCTGTACGCTCAGCTGAGATGCTTTTTCTTTATTATTATTTGTTGAATTTTACTTTCTTGTTGTCGTGCTATTAACTGCAGTTGATTTGAACGTCCTGCATATTTGCATAATGTTTATTTCTAATTTACTGTACTTTCCAATCCAATTTTGTCAGATTTTTTATGGTTTTCTAACGTTAGTCAGGTTATTATTTTGAGACAATTCAATTAGTTATTTGAATATTATGTGAAATATAATAAGATATAAATGTATCAAAATTATTTTAGGAAGATGGCATAAATTTCTTAAAGACTTGCTTCTTTCAAGACATCTGAACTGAATAAATCAAAAAGCATTTCAAATAGGATATAACCAGCACAGATAGCAAATTTAAGTATAAGCTTGCATATGTATGCAACTGCAATGTACAATGGAGTAGGAAGCATCGGGCAAATAAACTAATTGTTTTCAGGGTTTGTATTCACGAAAATTCTGTCACGCCATTAATATGGATAAAGAGGTTGTGTAAGCTATTAATATAGATAAAGAGACTGTGTACCTTCACTTCCAATATCGATATTGTTTATTTTCTTTTGTCTCGTATTGGTCATTCAACTGTAACTTTGGTTGTCATGGTTAAGGTAAAGCTTATTTTAAGAATAAACTATGTGCTTTTGGTTTGAAAATTTATTTAAAACAATTATGAATTTCAATGCTTTTAGTAAAAAGTATTGAATTTCTCTTCCTTATTCGTAGCGAAGAAGTTTTTTTTTATCTGGTTTTATTTCTAGTATAAGAATTTAGGCAATATGTAGTTATTTCCTGTCAGTTCTTCTTTCTTGTAAGATTGATAAACTATTTCGTGGATAAAACTTATTTGAATACATATACGGTGTCTTCCTGCAATGTCCTTTCTTGAAAATACAAATTTCACTTTCTTGTTTGCTCTTGTCCCGTCAATTGGTTGTAATGTTACCCTATTATTGTCCTTGGAAGAAACTATTTCAATGCTGCACACATTACTGTTATAATTAAATTAGCTGTCATTGATGTTAGGTTGTAATTGTGTTTTTTTTTTCTTTTACTTTACATGTTTTTCATTTCTTTCTGATCTTATCATTTTCTTTTTAGACCAAATCTACGAAAAATTGCAGTTCTGGAATAAATTCTTTCTTTCATTCTGTTATAAAGCTATTTCAGAATAAAAAAATCCGGATTATTCATTGCCCTCGGCATAGTCTTGCCTCATTTAAGAAGATTAGCACAAATAAACCGTTTTTTACCTTCGCTTACCAAATATTATGTCATCGTTATAGCCCACCTCATATTAAAACCAAATGTAGGAGGTTTATAGGCAAATCCAGCACTTGCTGGACCAATGACTGTAAGATGATTCTGTGTGCATGTGAATTTGATCTTTATGTCTAGAGCATGTTTCAAATAATGTGGCAAAAGTTTGGGGGATCAAGAAATGACTTACGCAACAGTGACTCTTTTTCCAATGCATTAGATGGTGATTAAGTGAGTAGCCTGACCTCCTATACTCCAAAGTAGTCACAATCTTGTGGCTCACCTTGTCCAGTGCAGACTCTTCTTTTCCTTTGAAATCAATACTTAGCTGGAGCTTGGAGGTGCCTCCTATGCTGCTAAATTATTATTATTATTATTATTTTCTCTTTGAACTCGGTCTTTATGCTCTGGTGCCACATTGAATTATCTCAAAATTGAATAATGGCAATCCCCTTTCCCCATTGCCTTCCTGTGCCTGGATTTCAGGCAAGGCAATGGGGAACTACATGTTGTAGAAAAAAGAAACATACTTCTCTGCAAATTGATTAAACTACTGTGGGCAGGAACCCTTTGTCAACATCCCAAATGATACAATTCGCGAAGCTTTGAAAGTAGCCCTCGGTATTACAAAATTTCAAACTTCACTATCCTATTAGTACAGCTTGTTTCACTGATATACCGACCTAATTGGTGCATGATTTTCTTTCTCCAGATGTTAGGAACCACCCCCTTCTGATTCATTGTAAACGAGGAAAGGTATACTATATTCCTTTGAAAACTTGTTTATATTATTATTTTGCATTATTAATCTCCAGTTCGGTGAGTTACTATTAACAGCACCGCACTGGTTGTCTTGTCGGATGCATAAGAAGATTGCAGAGGTGGTGTCTATCATCTGTTTTTGATGAGTACCAAAGGTTTGCAGGTGCCAAAGCCAGGGTGTCAGACCAGAGGTTCATCGAATTATTTGATATATCCTGTTTGAAGCACTACCCACTGCCATTTTCATGCTCAAGGAAATAGAAACCGAAATAAATGGGTATTGTAGAAAGTTCCTGCTTCCTCCCATGGAATATTACCGTGACGAAGTGAAGTATAATCACTAGTCGTTTATCCTTCCTCACCTTAAATTAGAGCAGTTTTAAATGAGATCTTCTACTTCCTGATGTATACTTTCCTGTTTGAATGTTGATTACCAATCTTAAAAATTATGTAATGTGTGGATTGGATAGTAGTGAAGGAATGGAAACGAGTCTAAGGCTATTGAGTCGAAAAAATTAAAAAAAGTTAATTATGATTCCTTGAGCCAAATTTATGAAAGCAATAATCTCATGTGACATGAATTTATGCCATAAATGAAATTTTGGTTTCATGTATAGCATTAATTACTTAATTTTATTAATTAATTTATTTAATTTTTTTGATTTAGTTACTATGTTTTTTTTTTCATTATAATTTTGATCCATTCATAATTATAAATGTTTAAAATAAAAATAAAAACATTTAAACACAATAATATAATACTAATAATAATAAATTTTAAACAAAATATCATAATAATATATATATTGAAATTTGTTTCACTTATATTTTATTTACTTGTATCATTATAAAAAAAATATATTAACATATTTTAATAAATAAAAAATAAAAAAATAAAGTAAAATTAAAGATTATTTTAAATAGAATCACATTATTATTTTTTCCTTATAATTTTTTAGAACCTATATAAAAAATAGTAAAAAATAATAAATATAAGATAAAAAGAAAAAAATTAATTAAAAAAATAAAAAAATAAAAAGTTATATTTTTTATTTTATATTTTTCTTGTAAAAAAAGTAATAATATTCAAATTTTCTCTCTTAATCATTCATTATTTTATATTTTTATATATGTGAATAAAAAATAATTAATATTCTTTAATATGTTCTTTGATAAACTGTTTTTTATTTAGAAAAAATATCCATTTTTTACATTTAGAAAATATAGGTTGACTAAGTAGAATAACGACCTTTACTAATTATTATTATTATTAAGTCACTTAATACTAATATTAATATTATTATATTGCTGGTGAATCCCCAAGAAAAGGGAAACATAGAGTCCATTTATAAGCATCATAGAGACCATTACAGCGACCATTACCCGAGCCAGAGTTATGTATAATGTATTTATTTGAAACCGCAATATTCTTAAAACAAATACATAAAAAGTAAATAGAAGATAAAAGATTAATATAAATAAATCTTTCAAATAGTTATTAATGAGATGTATAATATAAAATTATAAAACTTTCATAACAACAAAAATAATTTCACATAATTATCACCAATAATATATATATATATATATATATATATATATATATATATATATATATATATATATATATATATATAGGATCATTGCATTTTATAAACGCATTTTATAAAAGATCATTGAAGAGCCAATGCAATAAATCTGGAAAAGAAGAATCAGAAAAAACGAAAAAAAAAAAGAAGAAAAAAGACTGAGTTGCTAAAAAAAACGAAAAAAAAAAAAATGTAGACGAGGAACAATCGATTCGCCAATCACAAAAAGGGCGACCGAAACGATGACTCGCCCCTTTATTATGCCCTCAATGTTCAAACAATGGCAGAGACACTTTGAACAGTCTCTTCATTCTCATAGAAACCCATTGAGGACTTTCTTTCCCTCAAAATTAAACACGAAAACCATTGCAATTGAAGAATTTTCATAACAGAATTCAAACAACTTCGAAGATCTTTTTCGCCTAAACCTGTTGTCCTTCTTCGCCGTCGACAACATATTACGAAGTTTGAAATAAAAAGGCAATCTTAGGCGCTATTTATAGAGTAGTCAATTCGATACAAACCCTAACCTGTCATTACCAGTGGACAAAATTACCCCTCCTCTTTCTTTTATTTACGATAATACCTCTAAACCCTTATTGTAGGTCAAAAACAGATTCAGCAGATCATAGGGTTGAGAATAAGCAAGAACCAATGAACGTACATGTGATAAGGAACTAGACTATCTAGGGTTTCAGACTCACCCCGAGTTCTCAAAACCCAACAGATACCATTGAACTAACTAAAACTATAAGCCACCATACCACCTTTTCTTTATTCAATATCAGACGCTATCTTCTTTTTCTTCTAGAATCTTCTACTGACACAGTTTATCCAATATTTTGGTCCAGTTTTCGTTTCGTGCGGCTTCTCACTGGTAAGTGTTAACTATTTTTTTTTTTTTTTCAATTTCTCCTATCTCTCTGTTAATTTGGCCCTAGATTCATTGCAACGATAATTTTAGTTTATGTTGATTTGAATTTGAGTTAATAATCACGCGTAGGAAGGGCAATAACATGGGGAAATCGGGGGGTAGAAGAAAGAAGGGTGGTTCGAACCCGAACCAAAACCAAGGTGTGGTTGATAATTCGGGTTCAGGTGGGGCAGTCCCAATGGCTAACGGTGGGGTGGAGTTGTTGGATTCGTCGATATTTTTGAAGAAGGCGAATGAGATGAAAGAGGAAGGGAATAGGAGGTTCCAGAGTAAGGACTATGCAGGTGCTCTTGAACAGTACGAGAGTGCTCTTCGTTTAACCCCCAAAACGCACCCTGACAGAGCCGTGTTCCACAGCAACAGGGCTGCGTGTTTGATGCAGATGAAGCCCATAGATTATGAAGCCGTCATTGCTGAGTGCACCATGGCGCTTCAGGTCCAGCCCTGTTATGCCCGGGCCCTTCTTCGCCGGGCCCGCGCCTTCGAGGCTGTTGGGAAGTATGAAATGGCTGTGCAGGATGTGCAGTTCTTGTTGGCTGCTGATCCTAGTAACCGTGATGCTTTGGAGATCGCCCAGAGATTGAGAACTGCGTTGGGGCCGCGCCAGGAAGCCCAGCAGGACCTTCAAAGTAGACCCTCTCCAGCTGCCCTTGGAGCTTCCGCGGTCCGTGGCGCCCCTATTGCTGGTTTAGGGCCATGTTTGCCAGCCCGTCCTGTGGCGAAGAAGGGAGTGAACTCAGCAGTTGGATCTGCTATGTTGCCTAATAATAACAAGCTAGACAACAAGGCACAGCAGGTTTTGCCTACTGAAAATGGTTCTGATAGCAAGTCCCACTTGCCAAAATTGGTGTTGAAGCCTTTAAATGGTTCTGCAAAGCCACCTATACCTGGAAAGGATGCTGACAAGGAACAGGCATTGGCCATTCGTGGGCAGCGTTCTGAGGCTGCAATTCGCTGGAGACCATTGAAGCTTGTTTATGATCATGACATTAGGCTCGCACAGATGCCAGTCAATTGCAGCTTTAGAGTACTGAGGGATATAGTGAGCAAAAGATTTCCTTCATCGAGTTCTGTTCTGATCAAGTATAAGGATTGCGATGGTGATCTGGTTACTATAACCTCTACTGATGAACTCAGACTGGCAGAGTCTAGTGTTGATAGCCATCTCCTCAAAGAACTTGGGGAGGTTAAAAGTGATTCTGTTTCAATGCTCAGACTGCATATTGTTGAAGTAAGTCCGGAGCAGGAGCCACCTTTATTGGAAGAAGAGGAAGAAAAACTGGTTGAGAATGAAGGGGTCAAAGGAGATGAGGGCGGATCTCATTCTTCCCTTGGTGAATCTGTCTCTGAAGTTCCTGATAATGAGGTTGATAAGGTAGGGAAGGAAGCTCCAAAGGAAAAGCCAGGCGCCACAGGAGATACTGAATGCAAAGAGGTGGAGATGGATGATTGGTTGTTTGAGTTTGCTCAGCTTTTCCGCTCACATGTTGGTATTGATCCAGATGCTCATATTGACTTGCATGAGCTTGGGATGGAGCTTTGTTCTGAGGCACTCGAGGAAACAGTTACTAGTGAGGAGGCTCAGGAACTGTTTGACAAGGCTGCTTCAAAGTTTCAGGAGGTTGCTGCTTTGGCTTTCTTCAACTGGGGTAATGTTCACATGTGTGCAGCTAGGAAGCGGATTCCTCTGGATGAATCAGCTGGGAAAGAGGTAGTGGCAGAGCAGCTTCAAGTGGCTTATGAATGGGTCAAGGAAAAGTATTCTTTGGCCAGAGAGAAGTACGAGGAAGCCCTCTCGATCAAATCAGACTTTTATGAGGGACTGTTGGCTCTGGGGCAGCAGCAATTTGAAATGGCTAAACTTAATTGGTCTTTTGCACTTGCTAAGAAGATGGATCTATCTGGCTGGGATTCTAAGGAGACACTTAATCTTTTTGACAGTGCAGAAGAGAAGATGAAGGCGGCAACAGATATGTGGGAGAAACTAGAGGAACAGAGAGCAAAAGAGCTAAAGGACCCAAATGCAACCAAGAAAGAGGAATTATTGAGAAGAAGAAAGAAACAAGTGGGTGCTACTGAAGGTGAATCCTCCACTGTTGGAGGACAGGGTGATATATCCGCAGAGGAAGCTGCTGAGCAAGCAGCTGTCATGAGATCTCAAATTCACCTCTTTTGGGGTAATATGCTTTTTGAAAGATCCCAAGTTGAATGCAAATTGGGAATGAATGGATGGAAGGAAAACCTGGATGCTGCAACTGAACGCTTCAAGCTTGCAGGAGCTTCTGAGGCAGATATTTCTATGGTTCTAAAGAATCATTGCTCAAATGGAAATGCTAAAGATGGAGATGATAAAAAGGTTGAGAACACACAGCACAATAAGACCATTAAACCAGAGATTAATAAGGCTAATCAAGTATGAGATGAATGGTGTGACTTTGAAATCTCTTTTGATTCTTTTGGAGTGTTGAATGAAGACTCTTGACAAAGAATATCCTTGTCGTTTGGAGTTTAGAAGGAATGTCTATTTTTTGTTTCAAATAGAAATTGAAAATTTAGGGTGCCTTAAGTAGTTAGTTGTGCACTTTTTCCTTTTCCTTTCTCTGAAGTTCTCAGCGATCTAATGAAGGGAGATTATTTTTTAACATTATTTACATAATCATTAATCAGTCTCACTTGCTAAGGATCAGTCCTTTTTTAGTAGTGCGGATGCAACTTAGTTGATGATTGCTTTCTTGCTCAAATTTTGACATTTGTTTTATCTGCTCTTGTTAATATGCTGAATGTGTTGCTTAGTTTATAACATGAGGTTTTATAGAGCCATGTATTGAATTTGTATCGATCGTTGACAGAATTTGTGTATTCGGAGAGTGAGTGGAATTATTGCAATTGGGAGTGGTAAGGTGAACTTATTGGAGGTTCTGAAGTCATTTTCCCCAGTTTGATAAAAAAAAAAAACAGTTTTCATCTTTACCGATGAATAAAATTGTTCAAATAAGCTTAAAGCTGGGGAATTGTTTGGCGGAGTTGCTCTAGAAATTTATTGTTAGTTCAAGGAAAAAGCACAGGCAAAAGTGAAAAGCAATTATTGCATAGGTAACAAAAAGGACGAATTGCCATGAAGTGTGAGTATGGGTGCTTATAATTGTTTCATTGAAATTGCCAACTATGACAAATCTGGGATTAGTTCTGATGAGACTATACATTAACACACTGTCATTGTGAAATTGATTTCACCTTAACATCCATTCGCGCATAGTATCCCATGACTTGTGTTTGCTACATGCATGATCATTATTTGAGAAGTTGCAGGGCAATAATTAACTTGTCACCTGTCAAAGGGATCTTGAATTTTACCACATAAATCTGTTATGCTGGAGGGGTTCTAGCATATTATTCCCGGCTGATTAATGATTTCTGTGAGGCACCCAACTCACCTGGATTACAACCACAAGAGATGCCACTCATTTGTAGTTCAGTAAATAGCCTCAGTTTTCCCACTGTCATGGGAATATTTTCATGAAAAGAAATGTGAAAGTGAAATTCTAACCGTACTTCCTAATATACTATTTAGAGTTAATAAAATCTATTGAGAATTATAAACTTATTGTGTGAAATTTATTAAAATAGGAAGCGTATTTTGCATCTAGTGACTCTTAATAAATTTTAGCTATAAAGACTAAAGAGTGTATTGAAGTGTTTCGTTTTTTAGGAAAATTGTTTTGTGAAAAAACTTGAAAACATTTCCAATGAGGCATGCAAAGTGAAGGTTTTATAACTCACTCTTAGTTCTCAAGTCAAGTTATCTGGCAAGTTCCTTTAATCATAAAAACCAGTTGTTTAAATAAGAACCGACTCTCACAACAGGAAGATATGTGAGCCTCCATCAATGGTGATGATCTTGAGTTCTTAAACTTAAAAACCTTCCTATAGTTGTTAGGAACTTCTTGAAAAGTGATGATCTTGAGTTCTTAAACTTAAGAACCTTCCTATAGTTGTTAGGAACTTCTTGAAAAGGAATAGTTTCACATGCACTCAATCATACGATGGCAAATTGATTAATCGGTTCTGTTTTGGCTCGTTATATCTCATCTTTGACTTGACAAAAACTGAATGTAATAGACTCGACTCACTATAGTTATGACGGGTCGTAGATCTTGATCCGTTACGCCAAAAAATGGATTGGTGGATTAAGAGATTGATCTGCGATAATTAACAAAAAAAATATTTATTTTTAAATCAAAATTTTCTATAGATTTACCAATAAGATTATTATTTATTTTTTCAATAATTCAATATATATTATTAACTTAATAATTCAATATACATATATTTCAAGTTAATAATATAAATCAAGACATTATTTTAAGATATTATAATTTAGAATAATAATAAATAATAACAAATATATATATATATATATAACTTCAAAACTTGTAAAATTTATATTTTTTATATTAAAAAATTAAAATACTTATATTTATTTTATTGGGTAATATTTTACATTGTCCTCCCCTTGGGTAATTTTTACGCCCTTAATTCAAGTCATAAGGATAAAAACAATTGAAATGAATAAAAAAGAGATGATGAACAACAAAGAGAATAAAAAAAGATGAACTTGTAGTTGAGTAACGAGAATGTTTCCTGCAATAAGTGAGAGTGTGACTTTTTTAATTCTTTTTTTATAATTTTTAACTTTATATATTATCTTTATGATTAAGTGTATTACAATAAAAAAATATTTTTTATTAATTAGGCGAGCTAAAAATATCAATCTATTCCACCGTATTAAAGTGAACTGAGGGACTGATCCGTACCTAACCCATCTTACCACCTAACCCATCTTACCACCCGCATTTAGCGTGAGAGATAATTGGACGACACATTAAAAATAATAGTAACAAATGGAAGGGTGTTGATATGTTCTTGGACTTTTGTGCTTAATCTCTGTTGTGTTATACTAATAACATTAGTTACAAATTAATTATTATGATTGAATAAAAATTAAACGGTTGAAGAAGCCAATCTTGACTAGCTCAATTGTTAGAGAGGCTTACTCAGGGAAGATTAAGATAATTTCCTACAGCTTTGAAATACTTTTATGAATGATCATCCATTTATTATATTTAAATAGTAATAGTTCTTATTCACAACAAATTAAATAGTTACAGTACTTATCAAAATCTGCTGTAACCGGCCAATTCAATGATGTTTATTAAAAAAAAAAAACTTTATTTTAGTTCTCAACTATAAATATTAATATTTTTTATATAAAACTTAAAGTCTATTTTGTGTAAGTTAGAAATTAATTTTAATGTACAATTTTAAAATACTTTTTTGCAGAATATTTTGTAATTAGCATAAATGTACTTTTGTGAAATAATATTTTTGTTTAGAACTAACATTATTATTACATGTACAACTTTTTAAATCCTTTATATAATTTGTTATATATAGTATTGCCTTATAATTATTTTCTCTCCTTCATCCAAATCAAGTGTGAAAAACATTATGAACAATAATGTTGAAAAAGAATTCACACATTACAAAGTCTTTAAATCAAATCCATGTATGAGCTTGAGTGGAGAATCGTTGCATTGCCGAACATATTGATTATCACAACATGCATTACATTGGTCAATTTTCTTGGTCGTGTGATTGATGATTGTGATAGGTAAGCAAGAATATCTTCCACGTTTCAGCTTATAGCCCTTTGATTACGTGCCATGTTGATATTTCCCAATTTCATTTTAATTATTTCAAATATGTCCAAAATTAAGTGATGGAGTTAATTCAATTTATTAAAAAGAGAATGGAAAAGGGTGTTGGGGTAGACATTAAATAGACAACCTTATTCACTTACGTGTTTTGTTCATCACTTTCATGCTTCTTTTCTTTGTCAACATATCCAACTGGACACCCAGTAACTTTAGCCCAAAACTAATGAGATGGTCCTTCACTCTTGGTGGTCCCAATCCATCATTTTATCACTGCATCGAAATCCCCATGCAGCATTTGAAACAATAGTCCATTGTTAGTTCTCCAATCAACTAAAATTACCTACTTTTTGCTGGAAGCCATTCAGGGTTGGTTTGCAAATTCAACCATCATGCTTTCTTACCTGCTTTCGATTCTTAATATTATCAACATTCTGGTTCGGTTGCTTTCCAATGTCAAGACCATTATTTTATTTGGTTTCTTAGAAGGAAACTTGGAATTCTCAAAGGAAATGACAAAAACCACCACATTTTTCTTTCTTATTACAATTACTGCTATGTACGGTGAATAGCAGCACGATGCTTAACAAGCCAAAGATACAAATATTAACTAATACTCATGTTAAATCATTTTTTAAGATTCTAAATATAAATAAAAATATTTTAGTAAATGTATTTGAAATGTTTTAAATATTTTTTTCCCTTTAAATATACCCATATTGATGAAGAATGAGAATTAAATGACCATCGAAGAAGAATTTTGTTCTCCTCAATTTCATTTCTCTCCATTAATTAACTAATTGATGACTTAATTAACTACGTCACGTTATTTTTGTTCTACAATTTATTAGCTTGATCTCGTGGTCAATCGAAGTAGATATTTGAGTTATTATCTTTCCATTTCTTTCTTCAATGCAATTAAGTTATTATTAAAGGAGCTTGTTATAGGCACTAACTAACTTAATTTTGTACTCCTTTTCAATTGTAATGACAAGATTATTTTAAAGAATAATAAGCGGAAGAAGAATCATATAGAGTGTTCCTTATAAAATGGCTAAGAAGGGATTACTTCGTAATAAAAGAAGTGAATCAATACATGAAACCAACTTAACCATCACAAAAACATAACACAAACTATCATATCAAACTAATGTTTTATTTTTTAACTATATATTTGGTTTATGCTACACATGCATAACGAGGCACCATAGCAAAGAAACATGCCAGTAATCATAGTGAACATATATTATTATTATTATTATAATAAGTAATATAATATAATGCTTCAATTTCAGGCTTAGACAGTTGCTATTGGTCCTAGATTAATGCTGGGTGACTCCATGGCCTTCATAGCTTCAAATCTTGGCTCTTTGGCCTGGAATTTAAGGCCAGCATAGAGCTTCATGTAATCATCAAAAACAAACTTGGGATAGACTTGGCTGCTCTCATCTTCCTTCACCAAGGCTGGCGCTGGAGCAATCACTGCATCATTGCCTGGGTTGTAAAACGAGGCTATGGACATTCTGTTCCCCTCTGTGTGGGTAACCACACGGTGCATCACACTCTTGTATTTACCATTGGTGATGACCTGTTTTTACCAGAAACACCAAGCTGTTAAATTATTGGACTAAGTTGAAGTTGCATGCATTCTTTCCCCCGTGTTATTCTATTTGCTGTCAGCAATATGATATTGGATTTTATCAAAATGTGTTTTTACAAGATAAGTTTTTACTCTGTCAAACAAAAATCATCATTGGTATAGTTTCTAAGATAGTTATTATTGCAAGTTAATAAACTCAACATTTGTTTACAGTGTCAATTAGTATGTTATTTAAGCCAACAAGATTTGAGATTTTTGTAAGGTGAAAATTAAGAGTCAGTAATTTGAAGAAACAGGACATGTGCATGCGCATGCGTATGTGTATGTGTTGATTTATGTATATATAAAAAGAATATACCTCAAGTTGGTCCCCAAGGTTGATGACAATGGAGTGGCGCATTGGGGGGACATCAATCCAGTGGCCATCCTTGAGGAGCTGCAATCCACTGACCTTGTGATCTTGGAAGAGTAGAATGAGGCCACCAGCATCTGTGTGAGCTCTGAGACCCTTTATGAGCTCTGGCTTGGGACATGGAGGGTAGTTGCTAACTTTGGTGCCAAAATTTGGACCCTTTGACCCATACAACACCTTCTTCAGATACCCTTTCTCCAGCCCAAGATTCCCACACAGCAAGTCAAGAAGTAGCTCAGCCAGTTTCTCCAGTTCCACTGCAAAATCCTTCATTACCTTCCTGAAACACCCTCACAAAAGAAAAAAAAAAAAAAAGTTAGTCTCTGAATCACAAAATGGAATGACTCAAACAGGTAGATATATAGAGGCTTTGATTGGTATATGGAGCAAGACCTGTAATCTTCATCAAGATCAGGGATCTCTGAAATGTTAGAGGCAGGAAGATGGCGCAAAAAGAAGGTGCTTTCCCAGTCCAAATCATTGATTTCAGACTGAGCAGACTCCAAACCTTTGCTTGCTACCATTTCCTTGAACCTTTGCTCCATACACTTTTTGTAGTGATCTTTCGTCAGCCTCTCCACAGTGTCCATCAACTCTAGGGATATCCCATGGTTCACCAACTTCAGCAAAAGAAAACAAATTAAAGGAAGCCCAAAAAAACAAGGAATATGTTATCCTACAAAACCTTTTCAAACTCAACATATATACGCAAGGAAAAAGTTTTCATTTTTGAAACAAAAGCATGAAACAGAATATGAACTACGTAGAATAGATGTTTGAAAGTACCTCAAAGAAACCCCAGTTCTCACAGGCATCTCTTATTTTCTCCATGGTTGCTGCTCTCTCTTCATTGTTAAGGTTCCCCATGTCAACAACTGGAAAATTCTCCATCTCAATATATTTTTTTTTCTGTCTCCCTTGAATAATAGCCTCTGCTACAATATTCTGTGAGGAGTGCCTTTCTCTGGGGTGCAATTTATAGAAATGGGAGTGCCTTGGACGAAATTATTTAATTCAAATATATAAACCAGATAAAGTTATGCTTTGTCTAGTGCTCTTCACGGGTACCTTCATATTAAAATTTAAACTCTTAATAAATCTTTTCTTCCCTTAAGAAGATAGCACTGTTACAAAAAATTACGAGACTAATTAGAATTAAGACATACATGTAGGCGCGCAGACAAGTATTTAATTATACACTGTTGCATCTTTTATTTTTCTTGAAATAATTATGATGACATGAGAATCAAATATTTTCAATTGCGTGATAATGTAGGTACGATTGAATAGTATCATCCCCTTTCGTTAACGAAGTGTGCAAGGAATGAACAGGTATAATAATATTCAAGTTGAAAATCAGTGATTCCAAGGTATCCTTAGCAGAGAGATAAGGAAAGGACTAATTTTTCAGATGAGAGTTTGACATCTTTCAATGCATATTGGTGAATAAGGGTAGTGTGAAGCTAAAATATTTACTGCAAATAATGAAGGGGGGAATCAATGGTTTTTACTGTATATGTATGTGTAGTGCCACTTCCAAGGAAGGAATAAAGAAATATGGTGGGAAAAGTTTAATCTGGGGAAAAGGAAAGGGAAAATGGATAAACAATGGGAAAGAAAATATAATCTGAAAGTTTATAGAATTGAGAGAGGAGACAGTGGTGGAATGTGTGAGAGTGTGTTCACATCCTGATCGACCACAACCATGTTTTGTCACACAATGTGGCCATCATCACCCTCTCTAGGGACCCTGTTTCAGTCATCTTCATTGTTTTAGGATAGGGGACCCTACTTCTACTTCCTCACAAACTCTTCACCCAACCCACTTCTATACATTCTTTCATCAATTAATTATGTAAAGAAAACACATAAATGGCCTGTATTAGTATTTTTTTTAAATAGATTTTTAAAAATATAAGTTAAAATTAGGAAATGTTGTATCACTTTTTTTATATAAATTAATCTATACATAAAAAATAACTTTAATTTTTTTTAAATTACCTTTATTTTATTTTCTTATCTTTACGAAAAAAATTGTCTAAAAAATTCAAAATTAAATTGTACATCAGAATAACTACAAAGAACAAAATTTTTTATATATATTTATTCTAAAACTCTATTTAATAATATAATACTCATAAATTAAAAATAAAAATTATAACTATTATACTAATAAAAATATTATTATTATTATATTAAAATATGTTATTAAATGAATGTTTGTTTTAAAAGAGATACCTCACCTATAATTTGTCATTTTACAAATAATCATTCTAAAACTATTGTCTTTTTTCAACTAAATATTGGATGATTTTTTTGACACCCTATATAACCGTTCAATAAATGAAAACATTAATAAAATAATAAATATTCTTATTTAGTTAGTATATTTGGTTATAGGTGGAATGATTGTACAACAAATATTTATGATATAATTATATATTAGTGACGTTCTCTTTACATATCATCACTTATTATCGTTAATACATTTCAGTTATTAACAGATAATGAATTAATATATGAATTTTTTTATCTTTTTTGCAAATATATTAAAAATTTTCACAAGTATTTGAGATAACTTAAAACATGAATTTATGTGACAAACTACATTAAATATAAATTCAGTAATTATTTGTTTTCAGTCGTATGTTATAAGCTTTAACCATAGAAAAAAAAGAAGAGATCTTAAACATTTTTTTTATCCTAAGAATTAAGTTATTTTTCTCTTTAAGAACTTATTTAAAGTTCTTCATCTATATATAGTGGGTTCCACAATCTATATTTACACTATAATTAATTAGATGGAAAGTATTAAAATTTGTTTATTATTATTTAAGAACATGTTCCTGAGAATGGTTTCTACACCATAACATTCACGTCAGAAAGCTCGAATACTAAAAAAAATACATGAGTTCTTACTGACAAGAATTAATTCTAAAAATTAGCACTAAAAATGATTTTAGAGTGCTTTAAGCTTTGTGTGAATGGTAATACAATATCCGCTTAGAAGATTTAAATAATTTAATTTATAAGATGATAATTTCCTTTCACTTTAAAAATGTTTGAAAAAAAAGATATCTCTCTATTTAAGTTTTTCTTTTTTAAATGAGATAGATATTTGAAAAATAAGTTGAAGTTTACGAAGATTTCTTTTGAACAGATTACTTTCATAAATTTTAAAATTTGTAACTCACGAATATTTTTCATTTTTTTTTCTTTTTGATTTCATACACACTACTTTATATAAGTTTATGGATGTAAAATATGTTAACAATTTTATAAATAAAAATCTTTAAGTGAGTGGTGTAGAATTTCATTTATATGATAAGATGGACAGAATAGAAATAAGTATTACATAAACTAAAACCATATAATCTTAATCAAAATCTTTCTGCATATTTTTTAATTTATAGAAAAAATTAATAAGAAGTGATATAAAAATTAGTCAAAATGATATGATAATGTAGCATCCAATAATCTCTGAATCGGAGAATGCGGAAGTAGTGGTTCGATAATCATTCAATCAAAAGAAAAATAAGATGCCTTCTCTTTTTCTAATTCATTTCTTATTCTGTCAATTAAAATTAACCAAATAATAATATAATTAAAGGAATATGCTTATTTTTAAAAGAGATGAAACTTTTAAATGAAAAGTTCACTCTTTTAATTAAAATTTAGACTATATTTCAAAGGACAATTATTATAATTAATAATAGTTTAAATTAAAAAAAGTAGCAACTAGCTATCCATTTAACTATCATATTTAATAATTTAATTTCACTGCGATACAGTGAAATTTAAGATTAATTAAAATTCATATAAACCTATATTTGAATTAAGTTTAATGATCCCAAATTAATTTTATCAAACTTTAAATTAAATGTTTCCAAGGATAATATAAACTAAGTATACATGTAAAATAAAGTATATATAATTATAAATTTTAAGAATCATCTTACACTAAATGAATAATAAAGTTTAATTTTAATACATGGTCAACGTAAGATTGAATACAACAAAGTTGACAGCATAGAACATATACCATTTGACATAGTTAAAAATCAAAGTTTCTGAAAATACTATTTAATACAAGATCTTGTAACTAATTATCATGCAATCCAATCTTCTAACTAGTGCATATTGTAATCTTCTTTATACATATTCAAACCACCTTAACTATTTTGTATTTCTTTTATATGACCACAAATTCATCTTAAATGTAAGATTGAATGATAAAAGTAAAAAATAAAAATGAACATCATATATAATTAAATCCTGATTCAAGATTATTCAAAAGAAGTTGAATAGGTAGAGCAGTTATGGTTATGCAGGATGGAGTAGAACAGAAAGGTGGTAACATAGTACACATCTATAACATTTTGAAGTCAATGGATGAATGTGACAAAAGAACAATAACAAAGAAAATAACGTGAGAGTGGTAACAAACTAATTGTAGAATAGGTTTGTGGCTACTTGCAGGCTCATCTTAATGAAAGACAAAAAGTCATAGGATGTGTGTTGTTTCATCAAGAATCTTCTGTAAGTGTTTGTCATGTAATAAATATTCTTAGAATACTTAATATGACTGCACAACCAACATGATGGATGAAATGCATGGGCAATTTTGAATAGACATTATCTTGCAAACACAATTACATTATTCTCACCACCAAACATTTTCACACAAGGTTTAGTATATGGGTTTGTAGATTGATAAGTAAGTATAGTCCTTATTAAAACTATAATAAGTACTTTGTGTATTATATGGGTTTATGTATAAAAAATATAAAATTATTTATTATTAATTAAAATATAAAATTATCAACATTTCAATCTAAAATCTTAAAAAAACTATTTTTTGATGATGACAGTATATACCTTATTAAACTTAAAAGACGATTGAAGATATTAAGTATAAATCAAAATAATAACTAAGAAGCCTAAAAATACCCACTTTGGTTGAATTAATAACTATTTAAAGAGGGAGGATAGTAGTTTGATGTAACATTAATTAAAATTATAGCATCCGTAGCATAAAATAAGAAAAACCTTTAATTATGTAATTTAAAAAAAATAAAAAACACAAATTTATAATATAATTAAGAATTAATATTTTATATAACCCTGACATTTTTTCATGCTTGGTGTAATAAGTCAAGTCAAATTTTAAATAAAACGCGCTCCGTGACTAGTTTTTTAACGTTCAAAATATTTAAATCTGGGAGGATCTAAATGTACCAAATCTGTTGCTACTTGAACTATGAGTTAAATTTTAAGTAACTTCAAATAGTTTCTATGCTAGTGATAAAAATAAGTTTCCGCTGATTAATTATTTTCTTATTCAATTCAGTGCGATATTTCCAATATAATAGTATTTCTCATTCATATGATGAATTTTTAAATAAATTAAAAATCTAGTTTTGTTCCTATGTTAATGCTCTTAATCGATACACCTAACGCAAAGGAAAAGGCATCACATCTACACGAAAGTAGGGGTGGATATGAATTTTAGATTCTTAAATGCTAACACAGGTCCTATTCCAAACACTACTTCTATATTTAAATACAAGTAAAAAGAATATAAATTGTATTTTTAAAATATTCTTCATTTAATGATGATAATTTATTTTAATATTTTTATTCATGATAAAAAAAAAAAATCTTATAGTTGGTTCTTATATTTTAAATTCTGAAGTAAGATTAAAATGGATGATTTAGCAAATTGTGGCGAGGAATTTTGAGTAAGAACATCACCATTTAGGATTAAATTATGCGGCAAACATTTTCGGAAATCTCTCAAAGCTTGTCCTGTCTTGGATTGTAGTTCTTGACGAAGCCACGTTAATTGATTCCCTTATCACACACTG